GGTACAAGCTTGATAGTAAAGCAAAAGCATGTATCTTCTTGGGATATTGTCATGAAGAGTTTGGGTACAAATTATGGGATCCAATGAACAAGAAGATTATTAGAAGCAAAGATGTTGTATTTCTTGAGGACCAATTGTTTGATGATGGTGATAATATTGAGAACCCAGAAACCTCTGTTTATATTCCTTGGAGTTTGGGTACAATTTCTTCACCTGTAGTTCATGATGATCATGGGGGAGATGAACAAGAAAATTGTGGTGAGAATACCAGTGATGATACACCTACAGTTGATGATGCTGAACCAAATGAACAGGCACCTCCACCACCAGTTGAGATTCCATTGAGAAGATCCACTAGAGAGCGACAACCATCTACCATATATCCTCCACATGAGTATGTTATGTTTACTGATGGGGGAGAACCAGAAACTTACCAAGAAGCTATTCTACATGAGAATAAGAGTGAGTGGGTTAAAGCCATGCAAAAAGAGATGAGATCCTTGCTTGAGAACCACACCTATGACTTGGTAAGATTGCCTAAACAGAAGAAAGCTCTCAAGAATAAGTGGGTTTATAAATTGAAGACTGAAAATAATAGCTCACAACAAAGATACAAGGCACGACTAGTTGTGAAAGGATTCAGTCAAAAGAAAGGTATTGACTTTGAAGAAATATTTTCTCTAGTTGTGAAAATGTCCTCTATCCGAGTTGTTCTTGGTTTGGCTGCCCGCTTGAATTTAGAAGTTGAGCAACTTGATGTAAAAACAGCATTTCTTCATGGTGACTTAGAAGAAGAAATTTACATGGAGCAACCAGAAGGTTTCAAAGTCAAGGGAAAAGAAAATATGGTGTGTAAGCTTAGGAAAAGCTTATATGGACTCAAACAGGCACATAGACAATGGTACAAGAAGTTTGATTCCTTTATGATGAGCCAAGGGTATGATAGAATCACATCTGATCATTATGTGTTTATGAAGAAATTTTCATATGATGATTTTATTATTTTATTACTATATGTTGATAATATGCTGATTGTTGGCCATGATGTTGGAAAAATTGGAAAGCTTAAAAGAGACCTAAATAAGTCTTTTGCCATGAAAGACTTGGGATCGGTGAAACAAATACTTGGCATGAAGATTCTTCATGATAGGAAGAAAAGGAAGATTTGGCTATCTCAGGAGACTTACATTGAAAATGTTCTTGAAAGATTCAATATGAGTAAAGCCAAAGCAGTTTGTTCTCCACTTACAGGTCATTTCAAGCTTAGTTTGAAACAATGTCCTACAAGTGAGAAAGAAAAAGAAGAAATGTCCATAGTGACTTACTCATCTGCAGTAGGCAGTTTGATGTATGCTATGGTTTGTACTAGGTCAGATATAGCTCATGCAGTTGGAGTTGTCAGTCGATTTCTCTCTAATCCTAGAAAGGAACATTGGGCAGTAGTGAAATGGATATTAAGATATCTAAGAGGTACTTCCAGGTTGTGTTTATGTTTTGGCAGTGATGAACCTGTGTTAGAAGGTTACACAGATGCAGACATGGTAGGTGATACTGATTCCAGGAAATCCACTTCGGGATTCTTGATGACATTTGCAGGAGGAGCAGTCTCTTGGCAGTCTAAATTACAGAAGTGTGTTGCTCTATCAACCACAGAAGCAGAATACATAGCAATTACTGAAGCCTGCAAGGAAGCTTTATGGATGAAAAAGTTTCTCCAAGAATTCAACATACCATTCTAGATCCAAGCATATTGATGTGAGATATCACTGAATTCGTGATGTGCTTGAGATGAAAGAATTACAGTTGGAAAAGGTGCATACGAATGAGAATGGTTCAGATATGTTGACAAAGTCTTTGCCTAAGGAGAAGTTTAAAATATGTAGGCGAAAGCGGGCTTGGTACAGCCCACCATATGAGCTGGAGGGGGAGAATTGTTGGGTTCAGCCCATATGTGGGCTTGGACAAATTGGGTCGTTTGAGCCTAAATCAAAGAAATTAAAGAAATAGAGAGAGAAATGGCAAAATAAGGAAGAGAAAGATTAGAGGTGCTGCGTGCGGCGGCGTGCAGCGAAAAGAGGAGAGAGAAATAGAGAGAGAAAGATTAGGTTTTTGAGTTTTCTGCTTGACGATCGGTGGCCAAACGTTGTCGGTTTCGGCCCAAATTTTATGTGGAGAATCCTTGCAGCAAACTCTACAATCCTAATGTTGTTGATCTACAGTTTACCCTCTCTAAGATACTTTCATGCTATATCCACTCTGTGAGACCTAAAATTCTCTTTGAGGAGATCCATCCTACGTGATGACATGATGATATACTAGTGCCAAGATCTATGTTCTTGATATTATTTTGATACTCTAGTTATTCTAGAGAAGACCTACTATAAACCTGTTATCATTATTATTGATAGTGGAAGTTTGAGATTGACTACGGTCCCGTGATTTTTCCCATATTGGGTTTTCCACGTTAAAAGATTTGGTCTCACTTTGTGATTGATTATTTGCTCTATTGTTTATGCTGTGCTGGTTGATATTTTCATTTGGATATCAAGTTGGTATTTTGATGAGGAACTCATTTTGATACATAAAGAGGGAAAAGAATATTCCGCTTTAACAAGTTTTTCCCAACACTTCTCCACCCTCGCCCTTGGCGTTGAGTATGTTAGCCACCTTTTTCATGGCAACTCTGTTGCCACCCTCATTCACGCCCTCTCTTCCCTTTGCCCGTCGTCATCTCTTGGTCTTGTTCCCTCACCTGCCCTCCGTTTTGACTTCTTCATCAATTGGACCCACCATCTCATCATCGACCTCGACATTCCTCACGTCTTGCTCAAGTTCTCCACTAACCACCGCTTCAATGAGTTCTTTGCCTACTTGGACATCTTGAGCATTGGCTTCCAAGTGATCAGCGAGCAAGAACTGAAAATGTGAGGAATCAAGGTTGGTCCCTGACCCAATTACCTTGTTGGATGAAAACCTCAACAGCTTCGAAGCGATATACATCAACATGTCCACCAGAGTTGACAGCACTAGCAGCAGCATCCTCGACGAGTACTTCACCAGCAGCAACACGATCTCCTTGATCAGTGCTAGATTACGTTGCAACCTTCTTCATATTCTTAGGCTGAAGTTATGAACATGATGATAGCAAAAAAGGTGGCGGACATGATGGCACACGTGCTCAACGCTATGGGCGAGGGTGGAGAAGAAGGGGAGAATGAAGGGAGAGGCGAAGGGGGTAGCAACGAGGAAATGGTCGAAGAGGTGAAGAACGATGGTTGCTTGATGTTGGGGACAAGAGGGGAGGAGGAGGGGTTGGTCACCACCATTGTCAGTGACGTCGCCATCACGTCATCGACTATCGAACTTAAAATTACTTTTTATTTTTTATTTTTATATTTTCATCGATAAAAACTGATGTCCTTAAGGTAAATGGATCTAATCGTTTTACTTTCATAATAATATGAATATCAATATAATTTTTTAAAATATAAAGATCGAAAAAGTAAATATAATTAATTAGAAAGTGATAATATATTTATATAGTTGGTCGCATCCGAACAAAAGAGTGACGTTTGGCTTTGCCTGACTCTACATTTTATATTATAGATATAGGATATGCCATGATATATTAAAATACTGCTTTATTGGCAAAGTGCAGATTGGCATTTGAAGATATTTGGAGATATGACCACAAGCCATAGGAATCTGGAGTGTGGAGCGTGAGACGGTGTGAAGGGAGGCTTGGAAATTGGATGGAGTCATCGGATGTGAAGCCGAAAGAGAAGGCCGGGTGGGATCCAGCGAAGGCAATGGGGGCGGGCGTGGAGTCTTGTTCTTGGCTGTAATGCAGAACAGATAGCACCAGCTGGGGAAGCTGCCATTGGACTTCACTGACACTATATCTAGAAAACTAGCTATTAGTTTCACGAAAGGTACAGAAGTAATGCTTCCCTCAGAGATAACTAAACCTAGTTGGTCATTTGCTCTGTTCTTAAGACTGGGGATGACAGCGGATTGAATTTTTTGCATTAAAGTTAGAATGCTTTCGATTGTTTGGAGTTGGAATATTTGCTATATGGATCGTTTTGTTGTTATTGAGTCAGGTAAAAAATAATATTCTTAGTTATTTATAATTTTTTTATAAAATCATCTCTTCGTATCACTAAATATTAAATTTTATAGTTTGGTTAAAAATAATAAATCTTTGAGTCGGGTATACTCAAATGAAATTCAATTGTTAATTGATATCGATAACAAAACAATTTTTGTTAGGTATTTAAGTTTACGGACATAATTAAATTGGATTTAGATGTCATTTTATTGAGTTTAGAATGGATTCGGATAAGGAAAATAGAAATGTGTAGATAGACAAAAATCATATTCTTAGTTATTTATATTTTTTAATAAGACATTATTAGGTTTTCATTTATCTCTCTATCACTAATATTAATTGTTTCACATCTTTTATATACGGTATTTATATATCTTGGATTTTCTCGAATATGTCATGACCTATTTTTATTTAAACCAGGTTTGAGTAGTTTTCCTTGCATTTAAGACGAGTTTGGATTAAAAAAATAGATATTTAAGTCAGATTTTGAGATTTAAGTGATTCAAATTCATGAAATTCAATTGTTGAATGATACCAATAACATAGCGAGCTTTCTCAAGTATTTAAGTTTATAGACAATTAAAATGGATTCAGATGTCATTTTATTGGCTTTAGAATGGATTCCGAAAGGAAAATAGATAGGATTAGATAGACAATAAGTCGAGTCGGGTTATGTGAGAATTATTCATGATTTACATAAAAATAAATAAAAAGTTATTTTGTGCTTGAGGTTCACTTAGACTTAAGAGAACTCGGAATTGTTTGCCGAGGACATATGGAAGGAGAGTGTCGAACTATGTAGATCTTATGTTTGCTTCTATTGTTATTGTTGATTATCTGCGCTGTTCTACTAGTATGAAGGCGATTTACAAGTGCCGAAAGAATAATGTTGTATCAATACAATTGTCATGTTATTAAGAATCAAAACACTTGTTTGTTCTCAACTTGAGACATGGAACCATCCATATACAATTGAAATACACACAGTTGGACTACAGAAGCAATCGTGTACATGATAGACTACAATATAACCTAACAAGACCTGAAATTTCAAAAGATCTAACATGGATTACAGGAAACAACTTCACCATATGAAAAATAAAAATCTGTGAATCCTGAAGTACCTTCATTTTCGATTTCAAGAATTCCTTCCTGGTCTAAAAGCTTCTTTGTTCGCAAGACCTACTGTATCAGTTGAACTCTTGCCATGTCTTTCTGCAGTGCTGGTATCTCTCATTGCTGTCACTGCACTCGTGCTAACCTGCAGGACACTCGACGAGGATTCATCCGAAGGGCCATAGGTACTGTCGCCGCCTGGTTCTTGGTGCACTGCTCTTTCATGGAGTTGCAAGGCATACTCCAAGTTCCAGAGAACATCTCCCATTGTTGGCCTATCGATTCCATATTGTGCCAAACACTTCTCCACAGTCTCACCAAATTTCTTCAGCGACTTGCGATTGGTCCTCTCCTTCAATGAGGGATCAATGATTCTCTCAAGAAGCCGTTTTTTCTGCCAGTGCATCGCCCACTCAGCTAAGTTTACCTGTTCCCATGGAAGGGACTGGTCGATGACAGGTCTCGCACACAAGACTTCAAGAAGCACGACACCGAAGGAGTACACATCAGACTTATCGGTGAGCTGCTGTGTCTTGAAGTACTCGGGATCGAGATAGCCAAAGCTTCCCTTGACACCGGTGCTCACATGAGACTGGTTGGTTGAAGTGCCTAATTTTGACAGACCAAAATCTGCAACTTTGGCAGCGTAGTTCTCATCCAGCAAAATATTCGAGGATTTAACATCGCGGTGAATGATCACTTGAGCAGAACCAGTGTGCAAGTAGTGCAGACCCCTCGCAGAGCCAATGCAAATCTCGAGCCGTTGTTTCCAAGATAAAGATGGATTCCTTGAGCCATACAGATGGTCTCTCAGGGGACCCTTCTCCATAAACTCATAGACCAAGATCTTCTCTGCCTGCTCCTCACAGTACCCGATGAGCGAAACAAGGTGGTGATGGCGGATCTTAGACAGGATCTCAATCTCTGTTTGGAATTCCCCAAGTCCTTGTTGAGACCCACGGGTGCCTCGCTTCACAGCAATCTTGGTGCCATCTCTGAGTACACCTTTGTAGACCTTCCCGAACCCTCCTGCCCCAACAAGAGCATTCTCATTGAAATTGTTTGTAGCCAACACAATTTCGAAGAAAGGTACTCTGAGCTGAAGATTAGGGTTGTTGGAAGGGGATCCAGTGGTCAACTCTGTCAATCTAAGATACGAATTCCCTGGGAGGACCGGCAATGGCGACCAAGTATCAGCATCTTGTGACTGAGGCATCTGATCCTTCCGACTCTTCCTCTGAGCCATGATAACAACCAGCACCATGATAGCACAAGCAAGGATCAAGCAACCGAGAACAGAAGCAACAATTACTCCAAAATGTCTGCTTTTTCTACTGTCTTCATTCGGGGACGAAACAACCCCATTAATCTTCAGTATCTCCACGCCGTTCAGCAGAGCATTGATCTTCGATGGAAGGCTGTGTTCTGAAGGCCCAATGCTGATATTAATGCCCCCGGTACTGCTTCGATGCAGGACAACAAAGTCTACATAGTAAGGTGAAGCCAAAGTGTAACTGGATTGTGATGAGAGGTCGAGATCCTTATAAGCAGGGTACCCGTTGATGTACACATTGAAGAAGAGCTCGTTCAGTGCGCTGCTGACTATGTCACAGAAGTGCAATCTAACAAGGAATCCATGGACCGAATTTGGCACCGGAAAATTCCAGCTTATGTTGAAATAATTGGAAGGTGAAGAAGAATTTGATGAGTCACCCTTGTTCATGGCTCTTGCAGTTCCATAGACGTAGTCAGGTGCAATCTCTGGCGTGGCTCCGCCGTCTCTGTACTGAATATGACTACCAAAGGTGACACTTATAGCTCGGGCTGGGTTCTGGAGGTACTTGTCGTCGGGTTCCCAGGTTCGCCAGAGGGTGTCATTGTCGGGGGTGACGAAGGAGCCGCCCACATTGATCCGGAAGACGGTTTCCAGCAGATGGTTGGAGAGCGGGGCGTCGGAGAAAGAGAAGAGGGAGGGGATCGGGGTGAAGGCATCGGAGAAGAGACGGTCCGGGGCGGAGAAGAGCTCGATTGCGTTGATGAAGGCGACGGTGGAGGGGGAAGCGGGGGAGAAGGTGAGGCGGAGGGAGGAGGAGTTGGGCTTGAGATAGAACTCCCTGACGAGGGGGCGGGGAGGTGACGCCGCCGCCGCGGGGGAGAAGAGGGAGAGGAGGGGGACGCCGGATGCGGAGACGTTGAAGAGGGCGGCGGAGAGGTTGAGGGAGGGGGAGGGGAAGGGGTGGAAGTGGAGGCGGAGGAGGAGGCCAGCCTGGGCGGCGGCGGCGAGGTGGAAGACGTAGGAGGAGGGGCAGGGGAAGGCCCGAACCGTCCGGTAGAGCGGGGGCGGAGCGGAGGAGGAGAGGGCAGTGGAACTGCAGTCGGAGAGGGCAGCGGAGGAGGAAGAGTCGGGGACGAAAAGGCGGCCGTCGGGTAGGTCAGTGTCGCCGCCGGCGCCGCAGGCGAGGAGGAAGTCGTCGGCGGGCTGGAATTCGGCAATTGTGAGCGGAGCGAGGAGAAAGAGGAGCGAGAGGATAAGTCGTTTGGAGGAATCGAGGGCAAAATGGGGGCTTCCGCGGCCTCTCATTCTCTTTGCGTTACCTCCAAACTCCAACTCTACTCTCTCTCTATATATCGAGAGAGAGAGAGAGAGAGAGAAATAATTATTTATATTAATTTAAAATATAAAAAAATGTAGTCATCACTTATCCTAAGTCTTCTTTTGTCATTTCGCTCAAAAGCCTATATGCATTTGTAAGGGGAAAATGACGCATATAAACACTTGATGGAATACCTTTCACTGGAGGCATGTCATGTGGGGTGGATCCCATCAACATGTTCTCCCTCCCATCTTTGTTGATCGAAGAGTAGATGTAAATATACGTAACCCAAATGAGAAAATAAATATTAATGTTAACTTCTTAATTTATTTTTATTATGAATGTCATAAATGACATATGAGATATAATTTTCTTTTATAGATGTGATTCGAAAGTGTTCATGAGATACTATCTAAATTTTGTTTTTAGATGAGGACATTCGAATATTTTATATTTAATAATGAGTTTGGAGTAGAAAACAGTGTGAGATCAATCTCCATTGCTTTCAGTTGGTTTTGGGTCGTTAGGAAGAAGGTGGAGTACGCCATGGAAGCTGTACCACAGCTCATGTTGAGGAGGAAGATAGGGACGTAGGATTTGAGTGAGGTCGGCTTGGGTGATAGGTGTTTATTGGACTATCCATTGGAGGTCAAATTAGGGTTACAGATGGATCCGCGTTGGGAGTGGAATTTTTGTTGACCTTTTTGAATACTGTGGTACAAAGGTTGGACACGTCTCCTAAAAAAGAATATTAAGGGTTCATTCTATCGTTAGCGTTGCAGGTCCATGAGATAAAATATCAGTTCAATCTCCGCTAATGAAATTAATTGATAATGTTACGATCTATGTATTTAAATGATACAGAATTAGCTTTGCTTCGATCAGGAGAGGTCAATTGATTAAGACAGAAAGAATAAGAAGTTGGATCGGAATTAAATATGTCAGAAGATTAGACATCGGACCGGAGGAATGACGGACTATCGGCAGAAGACTTCGTGTCATGAGTTTGGGTATCAGGCCAAAAAGATCGGATAGTGCGCCAAGGAGATCGGATATTACGAGAAGACAACATGCCGTTTGAACAATACGCCGAAGAAGAGGATGATGTGCCGAAGGGTCGGACGAAGCGCTGGATGAACCAATGACATGCCAGACAACTTAGCATTCTTGCTTGTAATAATTTGTCTAGATCGAAGTAGTTTTAGTTGTAATTGGGTTGGTTTATAATATAATTATGCTAACTCAATTATGGACTAACTGGGACCAAACATTGGGTCAATGGCATTGTCAGTCTAGGCGATGGCATCGCTAGTGGCTCAGTCTCCGAGACTGTGCCATTCGGTAGTACCACCAGGCTTGGCGGTGGTACCACCTAGTGTTAAGCGATGGTACCGCCAAACACAGTCTCCTATACTATGTTAGGAGGTGATACCACCCAGTATCAGTGCTACAGATGATGGTACCGCCCAACATAGGTGGTGGTGCTATCAAGACCCGGGATGAGACCTTTTTTTGCTATAATTTTGAAGTCATTTGAGATCTATAAATACCACAGCTATTCTTGCATAGATAAGCAAGAATTTGAGCAAAAGTGGGGGAAAGAATCATTGAGTAAAAATTGTAATATCTCTAGATTAGTGAGTTTCTTCCTCCCAGACTTAGAAGGTTTCTAAAGGAGAAGTGAGGTCTAAAAGAGATGTGTAAAGGTTCTCTCCTGACCCGTGAAAAGGAGAAAAGAGTGTAAAAGGGTAGTTGTATTGAATCTCGAATTTTGATGATAAAATCAATTGATGTGTTTGTGATCTGATCTACATTTTGAGTGACGTAGGAAGCTTCGATCAGGGAGAGACAATTAAAGCATGAGGAATCATGTTGAGCCGGAGTGGAACATTTCAAAAGATTGGACATCGAACCGGAGGATCAGTCGACGTATCGATAGAAGGCTTCGGGCCATGGGTTCGAGCATCAGGCCAAGAAGAGTAGAAATTACGCCAAGGAAATCGGAGTTGTGGAGATCAATTGGTCGATTGAGCAATAGGCCGTAAGAGAGGACGATGCGTTGAAGAATCAGACGAGGCATCGATGAACCAATGATATGTCGGACAACATTTGATTTAGTTTTGTAATAATTATCTAGATCAAAGTAGGTTTTAGGTGTAATTGGGTTGGAATTGGGCCAACTCAATTAGGGGCCAATTTGACCCAAGTTTAGGTTGTGTTAGGCTAAGTGAAAGACCCAAACAGTGACCTAATAGGTGGAACCGTCAGTGGCACAATCTTTGAGACTGTGTCAGGTGGTAGTACCACTCAAACACAGTCTCCAAGATTGTGTCAGGCGATGATACCACCCAGTGTCAGTGCTGCAGGCGATGGTACCGCCAGGACTCGGGAAACCCAGGATGAGACTTTTTTTTGCTCTAATTTTGAAGTCATTTTGGGTTTATAAATACCTCAACTATTCTTGTATGGGAAAACAAGAATTGAGTACGAAATTAAGTTGAAAAAGGAGGAAAGAATACTTGAAAATTTTAGGAAACTTCCTTAGGATTCAGGATCACTTCTTCATAGCATTTAGAAGTTTATCTAAAGGGAGAAGTGAGGTCTAAGAAAGAGAGGCTTGTAAAGGTTGTCTCCTAAACTCATGAAAAGGAGAAAGAGTGTCAAAGGTAGTTAATCTTCGCCCATTGAAGGAAGATTGTTAGTGGATATTGGTGGCCTTGACGGAAGAGGAATCGGGAGTGGACGTAAGTCACGACGACCAAACCACTATAAACTCGGTTTACATTTCTATTTATGAAATTTATCTTTACTGCAATCTGTCTTACTTACTTTACTTTTTTATTACACTCTTACAAATGCTTCCAAGTTAAATATATTTTCGAAGTTAAACATTATCAAAACGATTTTATCGTATGAAGATTTTTGAATCGACGTAATATTATCACTACACTAATTCACACCCCCCCAGTGCCAACTTGATCTTAACAATTTGTATCAGAGCCACATTTTTTTCTCATTTGGTTTAACACCCAAGAGAAATTGCTCTTTTCGGCTTTTAAGTGTTTTCTTGCTTATTGGAAAACTCGGATGAGAGTTTTCTTGCTTTAGCTGAATCTCGATTTATGAAATATTATTAAAAACATATTTCAAAAGTCTTCTCTTTTAATAAACGATTGGAATGATTTGAATGCTTTATTTTGTGCCTTAGACAAAAATAAATTTAATTGGGTTTCTATTTGTGAAATGGCTTATGAGATTTGACATACTCTTAAAATCACACACAAAGGCATCAGTAGAGTTAAAGATTTGAAGATTAATCTTGTGATATATGATTTTAAATTATTTCGAATGAAGCCAAATGAAACTATCATTGACATGTACACCCGTTTTATGGATGTCATTAATAGTTTAAAAGCTTTTGGTAAAAATTTTTCGAATCTTGAACTTATGAATAAGGTTTTATATTCTCTTCCTAAAAGCTGAGATTCAAAAGTAACTGTCATACAAGAGGTAAAAAACTTAAATAATATTCCACTGGAAGAACTTATTGGTTCATTGATGACATATGAAATGACGTGCAAGACATATAATGAACTTGATGAACATGAGAACAACCTTCCAAAGAACATAAAGGATTTGATACTTCGAACAATAGAATACGACTTAAGTGATAACTCAAGTGACGATGATGATGACCTTGAACTTCTCACAATAAAGCTTAAAAAGTTCTTAAAATAAGAATCAAAAAGTAAAAATGAACTTAAAAAGAAGAATATGTCAAAGAGGAAGAAAGTATTCAAGGCGGCTTGGGACGAATCGAGCTCATCCGAAGATGAGAAGCAAACCAACAAAGACAAGGTGGCGAACTACGCTTTAATGACTTTCGACGACGAGGTAACCAAAACCCCCTTAGTTTACTTTGAATTTACTTGATGTTTTTCATGAGTTATTTTTAAATTAGTTAGTAAAAAATAAAAAAAATTATAAAATAAATAAATAAAAGGGGATTATGCTTTTCTTTCTAGTGTTTTTGATAAATTAAAAAAATTGATCATGATAATTACATCTCTTTATGATAAAAGAATAAAATATTAGATTTAAATCTAATGCTTGTACACCTAATTAGATTAATCCTATGTATGATTTTAAGAAGCAATAATGTGTATCTTGATGATTTTCGTATTACTTTTTGATTTTGATTGAAGATGCTTTATGTTCAATGAAACCATGCTTGATGATTTAATGATGATTTGAAATCATGCTTAATGAGCTTATATTTCAAAATTATACATGATGATTTTTGTGATTTATGGTTTATTGATCTTTGTCGTAATAAAAGTTACTTTTTCGGTTTTAAACGATGATGCATATTTTTGTTTGGTATAAAAGACAAAGGCATGCTTGTATAAAATCAAACTACTTAAATTAAAATAAAAATGGGAGAAAGAAAATTGTTAGCATATCAAGAAAACTAAAATTGCTAGTTTGAATGTTAAATTTAGGTAGCATAAACTCTCCATATATATTTTTCGGATCATGATCTTGATTTCTTAATTTTTATAACTTGAGTGTTCTTTTTAAATTAAGATCGTTTCCTATCATTCCTTCTAGTTACAAAAGAAAAAAATTTGTCAAAAATGATTCATCATCTTTTGGCATTCATGACTTGATATTTTATTTTTTATGATTGAAACATTGATGTAAATCAATCCTTGTTATTTATCTTTGTCATAATTTAAAATTAATGTAAAGGGAAAATAAATACAACATTATTCTTTCCTTTCTTTTATAATGACAAATGGGGAGAAAGATTTGCTAGTTTGCATATTGCAAAAGGAAGAAAAACTTGCTATAAAGCAAAATTGCTAACTTGCACTTTTCAAAAAAGAAGAAAAAAAAACTTGCTATCTTGAACATCAACAAGAATTGCTAGCTTGCAATCTCAAGAGAAACAAAAGTGATATCTTACCTATCTCGAAAAGTAAAACTTACAAACTTGCATATTTAAAAATATGCTAAATTTATAAACTTGCACAACTTGTATGTTGTAAAACTTGCTCACTTCTCCTTTTTGTTGATGACAAAGGGGGAGATATAATGATGATGATTTAAATCATGTGTGGTATGATGTATTTTTATATTTTTAAATATCATATGATTTTTTGAATTTAAAGGTTGTATCAATTTGACATATCAATTGGGGGAGTTAATGTTACATCCTGAATTTTTTTTTTAATATATTTCCACACATTCAGGCCAAGTAGATAAACATCACTTTATTCATCATTCATAAACCTTTCTTACAATTCATTTATTGATCAAATCACAAATATAAAAGTAAACATAGTGATGTTAACTTCAAGAATCATCCTAGCAGTTCTACCTAGCGGTAGAGGAAGGTCCGCTTTCCACTAGAATTCGATTTAGTGCTAGAGGGAGATTACTTTGAAAATAAAAAATAAAGAAAATTCAGTAAAATTGAGTAGGAACCCCAAAAGTCAACTCAAAATGAATACATGATCAAAATTCAATCATCTCATTGGCGTATATCAAATACCCGAAGGAGCACTCTCCCAACAGCGGATGGAGAGACTTTATCCTACGAGATGAGTTTGTGTTCTCCCAATAGTGGATGGAGGTAAACTCATATCGCACTCCCAACAACGGATGGAGTGGTGTCTCACACCCACCAAAGTGGGGACACGTTCCTTCCAATAGCGGATGGAGGAACCGTCCAACCGTCACGTCTGACGGCCCGCTAATCCCCGAAGGAAATCACCCTACCTGCTCTCGATAGGGAAATAACATAATCTCACACCGGTCATATCTATATCGGGATGAAATAACATATTTAAAACATCTCTTTCAAATATCATCAATATCAAATAATACAAATTAGCCCTCAATTGACTTGAACCCTAGTTCAATCGAGTTAATGGAACTCAATTTACTAGAACCTAACTGAACTGATCTCTAATCATCATTTAACTGGTCTGAAACTACCTTAAACTAGTATAATTTGGACTACATTAAGTTCATTTTAGGTTAAACTGACTTGAATAAGTCAATCAATTTGAAATCACCCTGAATCGATCTAGACTAATCAAGTCTAGTTTAAGTCAATTAATATTTGGGCTCAAATTCTACAATAATATTGGGCTGGATTGGGCCAGCCCATCTATTGGTAATATGCATTACATATGACTAGGCATGCATCACACAAAGCTAGCCCAGCCCTGGCCCATGGATTGGTCATGTACATCGCATGTGACCACCCATGATGGTTGAGCTGGGTTAGCCTACGAGCCAAGGCCTGACCCGTGGGTTGGGCCTGGCCTACGGGCTGGGCTTGGTCTACTGATTGAGCTTGGCTAGTGGGCTATGGCCTAACCTATGGGTTGGCCAAAGCCTATAAGCAATTTTAATTCAATTTCATATCACAACATATATTCATTAATAAAATAAAAACATAATAACGTATTAAAAGATAGATAAGGAGATAAGCTTTAATACAAGGAAATAACATTCTAAATCTAAATAAAAATCATACTTTCATAATTTTAACATATTATAGTCAATTAAATTTTAAATCATTCATAATAATATATTTTAAATTTCAGATCAAAGAATATCAAAAAAATAATTTTAGATAATATATTTTAATCTAACAAAAAATTTTATCTAGATAAGATTAAAGATAAACTATAATGCTAGGAAATATCATATAAAGAATATAAATTTTTAACATGTTTAAATCTAAAATAAAAGTCTTAAGAAGGATCAAATAACATTATAAAAACTTCAATAAATTTTAATGCAACAATAAAATTTTGACATTTAAAGAATTGATAAATATCTTTCAAACTATAAAATATTCAACATTTAAAGAATCAAAATAAAAATTAAAACTTTTATTTTCAGGGAAGGTAGGGAAACCTACCTCTCGTCAATAGGGTGTAACACATCGTTCCTCCTGCTACCAAGCTCGAAATCCCTCCCCTTAAATAGGAGGAGGTGAGCCTCAATTAAAGAAAATTTATTTTAATTTTTATATTTATTTAATATAAATTATTTCTATTTAATATATTAATAAATATGATATCACCCTATTTGGAATGATTAATAGTTATTTCCTAATTCGTATTAACAAACAAGGAAATAAATTAAGATTTCCTTAAATTACAATGGCAAGTAAGGAAAAAAATAATTCCTAACTGAAATATTTGATGTGATTACATTTAAGGTTAATTCCGTCATCAATTAGTTATCATCATCAAAAAGGAAGAGATTATTGAATCTCAGATTTTAATGATGAAACCAATTAAGAATATTATGATCTAATATACGTTTAAGTGACGTAGGACTAGATTCGATCAAAAGAGCTAAATTGATTAAAGCAGGAAGAATAAGAAGTTGGGTCGGAATTGAACATATCAAAATATTGGATATTAGACTGGAGGAATGGTCGACGTGTCGGTAGAAGGCTTCATGCCATGAGTTTAGGCATCGGGCCAAGAAGATCATACATTACGCCAAGGAGATCGGATGTTGCGAGAAGGCAATATGTTAATTGGGTAATACATCGAAGGAGAGGACGATGCGCCGAAAGGTAGGACGATGCCCGAAGGGTTAGATGAAGCGCCAGATGAACCAATGACATGTTAGATAACTTAACATTCTTGTTTGTTTTAGAATATAATTATACGAACTCAATTAGGGGCTAATTGGGCCCAAAGTGGGGCTGTTTTGGGCCAAGAGAAAGGCTCATTCAGTGATCCAAACATTGGGTCAGGCGGTGGCACCGCCAATGGCTCAGTCTCCGAGATATAGTCTCCGAGATTATGTCAGACGATAATACCACCAGATTAGGCGGTGGTACCACCTAGTGTCAGGCGATGGTACCACATAGTGTCAGGTGGTGGTACCGCCCAATGTCAGTACTGTAAGCAGTGGTACTGCCCAGCATATGCGATGGTACCACCAAGATTCGGGAAACCCGAGATGAGACCTTTTTTTGCTCTAATTTTAAAGTAATTTGGAGTCTATAAATACCCCATCTATTCTTGCATAGACAAGCAAGAATTTGAGCAAAAGTGAGGAAAAGAATCCTTGAGTAAAAATTATAATCTTTCTAGATTAGTGAGTCTCTTCCTCCTAGAGTTAGAAGGTTTCTAAGGGAGGAGTGAGGTCTAAAAGAGATGTGTAAATGTTCTCTCCTAAGCCTATGAAAAAGGAGAAAAGAGTATAAAAAGATAGTTGATCTTCGTCCATTCAATGACAATCGAACCACTATAAAATGGTTTGCATTTCTATTTTATTGTTTATCTTTATTGTAAACTGCTTTACTTCCTCATTATTTTTGATGCACACTTTTATGAACATTTTCAAAGTTAAACATTGTCAAAATAATTTTATCGTATGAAGATTTTTAAATCAATATTATTTTATTACTGTGCTAATTCAACCCCCCCTTAATGCCAAGATCCTAACAATATTCACGAGAATATTTTTTTTAAAGTAAAAATAATAATTTCATCGTTTATCAGCCAAAAAAAATCAAAATAAAACCTCTAAAATAGATTAAAACCTTGGAGGCTATTAGCCGTTAAAAAAACTATTTGATTGTGAGCGATACAATTGAGAGTTGTATCAAAATGATTGAAGCAATATTTAATGTCTCGAAGGATGGATTTAGTAAGAGTCTATTGTATCGTGATACAGCATTGTGTGTTAATTAGGTTCACGAGCAACATTCAATTGGTTTGCTATCTGTTTAATGTCTTTGAATGATGACTTAATGAGGTTGACGAACAACATTCAATTCATACCTGTTAATGAGATTGATGAGTTCTAATGAATACGAGAAGGCATTGAAGTATTGAAGATGGAAGCATTGGGCAATAGGGTCAACATTAGCCCTCTTCGACCATCGATCTTCCATCCCTATCCTTGATGATGAATCCAACATCTGCAACACCAGATATCAAGTCAAATGATCCATCACACTCCAACCTAAAAGGAGAAAATACTTTCTATTTTGTCCTACTGAGTTGTCCTAAAAGGCTAACCCCCTCAATTACGTGTAGATCAAATAGATCATTAGTATCAACCACAATCCTACAGTAAAAGGAAAATATGTTGATTTAGAATCAACGATCCTATTCTATGTTTATCTTAGTGTATGATAATGTTAGATTAAAAAGTTTTAAGGTTTTATGACTTAGAATATCGTAAGATATGTTTGATTAAGAAGTTTTGAGTTTTTGTAATTCCGAATTATATTATTTTTAATTTCATAGTACACATGCAAAATAAGAAGTAAAAAAAAAACATAAATTTTACAAAAAAAAAAAGAAAGATAAATCTTGTCAATTGTGAGTGACTTTTCTATCAAAGCCTCATTTGTTATCATTTTTAATAGAGTCTCATTGTATTTCTTAGCTTAAAAATTCACTTTTCATAAATGATAAGAATGCAAATGATAGGAGTAAACTAGTCTAATAACCATTGTTTCATAACTAAATCAGCTAAATTAGAGGATAAAATCAAGCAAAATAAAGAAAATTAGTGTATTTCTTCTCCAAGAAGTTTGCATGCTTCGATTAACATTTGACACCATCAATATTGATCTCTTTTGCATTAAGCCACTGGCAATCAGCGATCGTAAAATTATATCAGATCTAATGAATATGAATCTTCCCAAATTATCAGATATTATTATTAAATGTATAAATAGATTTTCTGATAGGTTTTTTGATAAAATAAAAAAAGAAAATGCTCTTTTTTTAGAGCCCAAAAGGCCCATTTAAAGGAGCCCTCTCACAGGTCACTGAAGCGGGCTTTGGGCCTTTATGCGAGCTCCGCAACAGAGCGTCACGTTTCCCTGTTCCATCTCGTTTCCCTCCTTCCATATATAAACCCGCCGCTCGCTTCTTGCCTACGGCGAAGGGTGGGAACGAGCAGGGCGGTGCCCGGATCTTCGGCCCCTCCCAGAAGTACTCCCACATTAGCCTCAAACCGAGGTGATTTCTCCCTCTCTCTGTCTGTGCCCCTCCCTCCCTTCAAGAAACCCTTGCCCTCATCTCAGTTTCCCCTACGTATCTGGATTCGATCGATCGGATCAAGAATCGAAGACTTGCGATGCATCATTGGTGGATAGATTCTGTTACTTGGAAACCTGTGGTAGAATTTTAAGATTCGGTTCGAATTTCTGAAAATAACCCTAGGATGATGTGATCTTGAAGACAAAAACAAATGAAAGAACCGAAAAATTACAATGTTTAGGGAGATTTTATTGTGTTGATGCTGACGATCTGGCTAATTTCTACGTGGATGCAGGGAAGAAGAGCAGGGTATCCAGGATGAGTTGCCGAAGCAAAACCTCCGAAAGGAGTTGGAAGAGTGCGAGCGGAGACACTTTGCCTCCAAGGCTAAGTCTTGTACTGGTAAAAGCTTGTTCCCTTCTACTGTATTCTCTCATGCTAGCATGTGTTTATGCTGTTTGTTTATTTTGCTTGTAATTTAATGGTTTGTGAAAGATCAGACGATATGGTTGTATATTCGGTCTGGTTGCATTTGTTTTGGATCAGGTGATGTAGTTTTATAATCGGTTTTTTCTTGTAATTGTTGTTTTCATATGTGTTGTCTGCGATTGTACTTTTGGACGTAGAATCCTAACATTTGTGGATTCTGTTAGGCAAAGGCCTCTCTGGCTTTGTTAACAATCTTCTGCTACAATGAATTTTTTACCATCTCCTTGTTTGTGGAATGTTAAAAGGTTGATCTTTGTTGCAGAGTTTATGTTTGGTTTTCATTTGGATTTTGTCTTCCAATTCTAAACTCTCTTAATGTGGTTGGTTACTGAATCTAGTTGTTTTCACTTGCAGAAGATAGAGATCGAAGGAAAGGTGGGCAGGTACTTTGGAAGGTAAGCTACATTGCTTAGGTTCCTTATTGATGTTAAAATTATCCTGGTGCCGAGACAAAAGCATCTTTTCTGGTGATGCTTTTCTTGCTCTTGTTTTACCTACAGGAACAAGGAGAAAAGCTGAAGATAGAACTGTTCAGAGTGATAATGATGCTGATGATCCTGATGCATAAGTCAAAGATGATGCAGAGAGGTAGATACTTTTTGTTTCTGTTTCCACATTTTTTAGTAATCATGGTTTTTTTACTATAAATTAAGATATGAGACACTGTCATGCAATTTTCTGATAAAACTGGTTATAGTGATTAACATATCTGTTGACTCTGTTTCTACATGATACATGCATTCGTTTAGTTTGGCTTTCTATGTATATCAAAATTGTCTTCTTTTAATTCTAATTTTAAGACATTTATAATGAAATATCAAGTGCCAAAGCTGATAAACCTATCAAATATAAAAATAATTAAAACCCGGTTTCCTTGTTAACAATGATCATTGACTATATTGTCTTTATTTGTCAAATTTCTAAAAGCTGAGCACGTGTCTCTTTTACTTCCCTCCTTTCTATAGGAGAACAATGCAATGGTGTAATTTCTGTTCCTCTAATATTTTTTCATATTCATCTTCCTTTTTTTTTTGTTCTTAACTCATCGTTTGCTTGATCCTACTCTGATGAAGCTATACTTCTGTTGTTAGTGATGGCGATGATGATGATGACGAGGATGATTAAAGCCCTGTTAGCTGAGCTTGAAAGGATAAAGAAAGAACAAGCCAAGCAAAAACTAAGCAAGGTCTGTGTTAGTAACTTTTTATGGTTTGGCATCTGTCTTTTATCTGCTAATTAGGTTTCCTTTTGTATGATCGACTTTTTTGTCATGTGTACTCGACTTTGTTACATGAAGACAATCTGGCTCTGTGCTAATTGAATATATCCCTGGTTTATTATATATTTACACCAGGGTTTTAATATCTCATATGAGGTTGACATCTTATGCCCTACTTAGAACAGTATTGTTAGTATGTGATTCTTGATCTCAGTTTTCACAAAATCCACTGCAATGGTCAAGATTATAAATCTGGCTAAATGGAATAGCACAATCCATGTCCATCTGATGCTTCTTTTTGTACTTGAACTTATGTTTCACTGGAATTGTTCTTAGGTTTGCTTTAAAAGCAACTACATCCTGAAAAGAAATATTTATACATTTTTTCAATTGGATAAGTTTGTTGTAATAGAGCTTGTTAACTTTGAACATGGCAAGAAGTTATTTGGAATTTTGGATGCGACTATTTCAGATGTGCTTATGCTCGAACAGATCCATACATGCACAATTAATTTTTCAGATGCAACTAAGTTTTGGTCTAGATATCCAGCTTCATTTTATGATTCAACCATTTAGATTTAATTAAGAATATTAGTATTTTTTTTCGACATACCAATGTTTTCATAAATTCTATTCTATGTTATCAAGGTAATTTTGTAATGGCTTTTTCGTAGAAATGGTGCATGTAACTGTATCATTTTAGTTTGTCTTCTGAGGTGTGTGCTTATTGATCAACTAGCTCAGGTGGCCTTATGTTCGAATAGATCCAAATGTTCTGGGTTACTTTTTTGGGTGCAGCTGAATCTAATTTGTCTAGTTATCCAGCTTCATTTTGAGACTTAACCAATTTAATTAATGAAACTGTAAAGATTTTTGTTGGCATACCTAGTGTCTCATCAACGTTTTTCTTTGTTATCAAGGTGTTGTTAGCCACAATTGTTTTGCAAAGCCTTTTCCATAGAAATTGTGCATGAGTTTTCTACGGATTAACTGTATCATTATAGTTCATTTCTTCTTTTGTAAAGTATCTGCTTTGAATGTAACAGGAACAACTTCAACAAGCTGCAGCGCTGAAGGATAAAGAAGCTTAGTTGATGCGAGGAAATCCATTGATCAATATTAATAATTCATCTTCCTTTATTGTCAAATGGTTATCTTAGTAATATTTGTTTGCATTTTGTAGTAAGTAACAAGGTTTATGTTGTAGTACTCTTTCCATTTCGTGTGCTGCAGGTGGGATGATGATGTTGTCTTCAAAAACAAGACTCATGGTGAAACAAAGGCCTCGTAGCATTTCATCAATGATACCATTAGAAAGGTGGAACATTTCATCGATACCATCAGAAAGGACTTCCACCACAACTTTTCGCAGAAGCACATGAGATAATTCAGTACAGTGTTTTGGGATTTCTTTTGGCAAATCGAGAACATTTTGTAAATCTGTTACCAGGCTTCGAAGTGTAGCTCATTAATTCAGCCCATGGTGGGCTTTAATAATTCACAGCCCATATTAGTCATTTTACCCTTTCTTTTTTAACCTAGACATGAAGAAAAGAGGGGCTTACGACTACAGACATGGTTTAGCAGTGGCGATTGAGGGCAGAGGAACAAGAGAAGAAGAAAAATATAGAGGTCGTTCTCAATTATCTGAATAGTGTTCTAGCCTCAGGTTGGATCAGATTTGTAGTAGACTCTTGTTGTGATCACAGAAGTAGATTTTGGATATTGTACATGGTGATGTAATCCTTGTATCTTTATTATTCTCTTGTAATTGTTGCTCTGGTTTTGAGTAAGAAATTTTGAGATTTATACTTTCATTATTTTTATAGTGGATTTGCTTCTCTAGCTTGTCTAGTAGTTTTTCTTGTTCATGTTAGAGAGATTTTTTACGTAAATCTTGATGTTTTGTTATTGTGATTTTAGTTTAATTTTTTCGTTGCGTGTTATAGCTTGCTCATATTTATTCGTATATAAGTTTTTTTTTATCTCATCAATTGGTACCAAAGCGGATTTTGATAACATTTAATTTTTATATCCGAACATGGAGGTCGGTAGTGTTTCCTCCGTGATTAGCTTAATCACAGAAATAATTTGATGATATAGAAATCAAGAATGGAAGATTTGTATGGACCTTTTTAAGGGGATAGTGTAAAGCTTTGGTTTATTATTGAGCATTCGAATGAAATGCAGAGTATTACTAACCAATTATCTTTTATAAAAATATCTTTTAATGATAAGGTGTAGGCATTGTTACTTTTTAGTTGATTATGAAAAAATTAAATGGTTTCCTTCGGTAATTATCATGAGCAAGTAAAAAATAGTTTATTGAATAAGGAGTTTGAAGAGAAAGAATTTAACATCTCAAATTGATTTGAGGGTACTTGTCTAAAAAAATACAAGAAAGTCAAAGCAAGTCAAGATCAGAAAAGATATTATAAGAATCAATGCAAACAACTTAAGAAGAGCAAAAAAAAAAAAAAAATGGAGCCCACCGAGTCAAAAGAGAATACCACAACTATAGTATAAGGTGGTAATTATTTAATTATATTTACTTTTGATAATATTTTTTCTTGTGTGTGTTAGGATCTTGAGTAAGTGATTGACACAAGTGCTTATTATCATGCTATACTACAAAGGGAGTTCTTTGTTACCTATAAGTCTAAAAATTTTGGTGTTGTCAAGATGGGCAACTATGGCTCAATAAACATCATCGACATAGGTGATAGTCATATAAAAACTAACATTAACTACAAGTTGGTGCTTAAGGATGTGAAACATGTGATTCACTTGAGGCTAAATTTAATTTTAGTTGGAAGGCTAGATGATGAAGACTTTAATAGCAGATTTCACAAAGAACAATAGAAGCTCAGTAAGAGTTCTCTTATTATAGCTAGTGAGAAGAAATGTCACATTTTGTATAGGTTGCAGGACAAAACTTGTGGTAAGCAATTAAATTCTATAGAGAAAGACTTAAATATGGAGTTGTGGCAAAGACAACTAGGACACATGAGCGAGAATGGGTTGTAAGTTCTTTCCAAAAGAGAAGTCTTGCCAAATCTCAAATATATACGTCTGAACTCTTGTATTAATTATTTGGCTAGCAAACAATATAAAGTTTTCTCTACTAGTCCTACTTTATCTAGAAAATGCATGTCTTGGATCATGTCTATACTATATGTATATAGTCCTTTAAGGAAAAAATATTTTTCTAAATCTATTAATGTTTATGGTATCAGTGATATACTTTATTTTGTCACTTTTATAAATGATTTTTTCAGGAAAGTTTAGGTTTATGCTAAAGACCAAAGATCAGGTTATTAATGTTTTTAAAGAGTTTCATGCCAAAGTTGAAAGAGAGATAGAAAAGTAATTGAAATGCATAAGATCATATAATGGTAGTGAGTACACAAGATTGTTTGATATTTACTACATGTCACATGACATCCAACATGAGATGATAGTTCCTTGTACGCCTTAACATAAGAGCGAATGATAGTTCCTAGTATGCCTCAGCATAATGCAATTATAGAGAGGATGAACCGCACCATCATAGAAAAGATCAAATGTATGCTTTCATAAACCAATCTACCCAAAAAGTTTTGAGATGAGACCTTGAGGATTACAATTGATGTGATTAACTTGTCACCCCATAAAACTCTAGATGGTAATATCGTAGAACATGTATAGCTAGGGAAAGATGCCTCCTACATGCACTTGAGAGTATTTGGTTGTCATGTATTTGCACACATTTTAAACATTGAGAGGTCTAAGCCGGATGGTAAGATAGAAGAATATATTTTTCTTGGTTACTCACATAATTAGTTTGGTTACAGGTTTTAAGATCGAGAAAAGCAAAAGGTGTTTGAAAGTAGAGATATGATCTTCTTTGAGGATTGAACCCTTGAGGATTTAAAGAATGAGGCATCAACCAAGACTTCTACAAAAGAATTATTATATTGTGACCCAATTACTCCTCCAATACATCGAGATGATGGGGAGATGTGCAGAAAGATGGTGTAAAGGCTAATGTTGGTCTATCTATAAGACATGTTAAGTAAGAAGAATATGAAGAGCAACTTTTCGTAGAATCTCAATTGAGAAGATCTTCTAGACAACATCAATCATCCAGAAGATACTCTTTTATCTATGTTACTCTTCTAGACAACATCAACTTTGAATAGATTTTTTCTCTTGTTGTTAAAATATCTTTCATTTGTGTTGCTCTTTGTATTGTTGCTAGTCTAGACTTAGAGGTTGAGCAATTGGATATGAAGACAACTTTCTTATTTGGTGATTTGGAGGAGGAAATTTATATGGAGCAATCAGAAGATTTTGAAGTCAAATGTAAAGAAAATTTTGTCTGCAAGTTAAGGAAGAGCTTGTATGGGCTGAAGCAAGCTCGAATACAATAGTACAAAAAATTTGATTCATTTATGGCTAAAAATATATACAAAAGAATGGCTTCAGATGACATGCTACATATTGATGATATGCTTATCCTTAGGAAAGATATGTCTACAATTGACAAGTTAAAGAAAGAACTAAGTAAATCCTTTGCAATGGAAGTTATATGGGCTAACAAAGAAAATATTAGGCATGCAGATTTCTTATGATAGAGAAAAAAGAAGATTTGATTATGATAGGAGAAAAACATCGAGAAAGTATTGGATAAATTCAATATAAGCAATGCAAATCAGTTGGTTCTTTTCTTTCAAATCACTTTAAATTGTGCTTAGAGCATAGTATAAAGTGATAAGGAGGAGAAAATATAAAAGATTCCTTATGCTTTAATAATTAGAAATTTGATATATGCGATAGTATGTACGACGTCGGACATTGCATATACAGTAAGTGTTGCTAGTAGATTTCTTACAAATTTAGACAAAGAACATTGGATAGCAATGAGGTAGATCTTTATATATCTCAAAGAGAGCTCCAAAATTTGTTTAAGCTTTAGAGGTGGACTACCTATGTTTGACAGGTTACACAAATACAGATATGACAAAAGATATTAATACAAGACAAAAGATATTAATACAAAAAAATTCATGTTTTGTACTCACCTTTATAAGAGGAGTTGTGTCATGACAATCCAAATTACAAAGGTATATTACTCTCTCCATTACAAAGGCAAAATATATTATTGTTACGGAGGTTTATAAAAAAATATTATGGATAAAAGAATTTTTACAAGAATTGGAGCTGAAATAGAAAAATTATGTGGTGCATTATGACAACAAAAGTGTCATCCTGTATAAGAACTCAACTTTTCATTTCAAGTTAAAGCATATATATATTATGTACCACTGGATTCACGGTAGGACAGATATGTTGACAAAGACCTTATCAAAAGAAAGATAGGAGATGTGCCGATAGTTGGTCGGCATTTATATTGAAGATTTATAGGAAAACCTCCCTTATGGGATGAAAGAAGAGGTTGTTGGGTACATGGCCCATTAATTCAGCCTATGGTGGGCCTTAATAACCCACAGTTCATAGTAGTTATTTAACCTATTTCTCTTTTAACTTAAACAAAAAAAAGGAGGCTTGTAGCTGCCGTTGGCGTGACCAGAAGAAACTGCAATAGCGACGATTAAAGGAAAAGAAATAAGAGAAGAAGAAAATGAAAGAAGATGTTGACAACATAAAGGTCATTCTTAATTATCCGAATAGTATTCTAGCCTTAGATTTGCAACGGACTCTTGCTCAAGTCATACAAGAAGATTTTGAATATTATGCATGGTAACATAATCATTATATCTCTATTATTCTCTTATGATTATTACTCGGGTCTTGAGCAAAAGACTTCGAGATTTATACATTCATTATTTTTATAATAAATTTACTTCTCTAGCTTGTCCCATAGTTTTTTTCTTCCACGATGGAAGAGTTTTTCAAGTAAATCTTGATATTTTATGTAACTATGATTTTAGTTTAATTTTTCTGCTGTATGTTATGAATTTGTTCACATACAAGTTTTTTTTTATCCTATTAATATTTTATTTATGTTGCTGTTAGCTTTTCTCTAAGACTTCTACAATTGCAAATCCAACTATTCATCGTGTTGCAATCTTAAATTGGTTCTTGATAATTGTTTCAGGTATTTCTTTTTTTCTTCCTTTGTATATTGATAATCCCTTACACGGAGTTTGTAAATTTCTTAATTTCTCTCTCTCTCTCTTTCTGCTGAATATTTTCAGAGGAAGAATATGTGCATTAGTAGTTACAGTGAATTGGATTCAAGTGGTGGAGACAAATGTTGTTTATATTTATGTGGACCGAAGACAAAAGCCGAGAACAAATACTGTTTTATATTTATGTTCGATGTTTTCATGTGCAGATTATCTTAAATTAAGAGTCATTATTATTTTTTAAATAATTCATTATTTCTGATAAATGTTTTATGTCAAATTAAGAATCATTATTTATTTTTTATAACAATTCATTGTTTCTGATAAAGATTTTATTCTTTTGGGTCTTGCTTGAGGTTAACTTCGGAACAGGAATCATATGATTTTAAATGAGAAGGTGTTGTAACAAGAAATCAGAAAAAACATATTAGATAAATGTTTTAAATTGCTGTCACATATTTTACATAATTATTATCTAAATCATTAAAATAATAAGAATTCTGGATTTTGAAGGATTTTAGGGTGTGAGTGGTTATCACATAATACTTTCACTATTGCTTTTTGTACCTCATGATTCATCCCATTGGGCCCCCTTTTTTTTTTCTTACTTGAACAAAAAATACTTTTAGATTTTTTTTTACTTAAATGACTTTTGGACTTAGTAATCATTTCTTTTAAAATGAATCATTTTGATCTGATTCAATAAAATTTTACTTAACTAAGTTATAATGAAAATTGAACTAAGCTACATTTATTCAAAAAAAAAATCCTTAATTTTGATAATAATTATCATAAAATTAAAAAAAAATATTAATCATCTCAAAATCATAACCATATTATTTGGTGAAAGCTAAATTAAATTTTATTCGATCAGTGAACATATTTTAAAAAAAATCTTAAATTTTAATAATTTATTATTAAAAATATATTAATCATCTTAAAATCATGTTCTTATCGGTTGGATTGGTTTAGTAGGAGTTGATTAAGTTAAACATAAAAAAAAGTCAATAAGAGTATGAAACAATAGTGTCGGATAGAGATTGCAACCCAACTGATTGAGATCAAAATTTACATTAATAATCAATTAAATAGTATATTTAGCATGATTGAATCCATAAACACTTCATCATCGGGATATCAAAGCGTATGGGATCGATCGCATAGAGAAGAAATGACAGCCAAGCTTATGTGGCGGTCGTTCTCGCCACATAAATAAATGTGTTGTCGGGCGAACGCGATGAATGGTGTGGAGAGGAGGAGAATTGATGGTGGCGACACCGCAACCTCCAAGCCGAGGCCCCTCCGGCAGTCCTTGACCACGCCACATCACGAGGAGATAACTCCAACATAATAATGAGGCGCATAGGCAGATCTGTACGTACGATAGCAAGAGCTAGCGGGGAGCGACGACAGCAGCAGCAATTTTGGCTCTTAATGGCTGGCCATGAATGCCGTTGTTGGCCACGCATGGACCGTCGCCTGGCTCGCCACCGGTGGTTGACAGCAACGGGTCGACAGCGGCCGGTCCCCCGTGGCTGTCGTCTTCTACATTGTCCGTCGGACCACGCCACCCCCCTTCCCTCCTGTGTTGTCTTCACGTCTACCCCTACCCACATCACATACTGCCGCAAGATTTGCATGATGCAGACCCTCCTCCTCCCCTCCATCCCTCCCTGTGACTTCCGCTGTTGCAGAGGAAAGGAGAGGCGAGGTAGGGATAAGAGATGGAGTTCAGATACTGTGGTGTTAGGACAATAACTGTGCCAACTTTCTGTGGGTTTTACGCGGCGTTTCAAGTTCTGCGAATGCTACTATAGTTGACAGCCCAGGAAGAAGATTGTTCCTCAAAAGCTTCTCAGGGTATGGCTTAATGATGGGGCAGGTCAGAGGAGTTAGACCTGAGGGAGGGCGGTAGGGAGAGTGACACGTACAGCAAGGAACAACGTACTCCTTCCTGCATGGATTCCGCAGAGCTTCTCTGCTTTTAATCCATCCATGTCACATCTTTCGCTCAGATCTGCTTCCATTGTCCTGTATGTTTTTGATTAATCCGAGGATAAACCTGCTCTCTTCATTAAGATCTTTGCAGCTGAATCATATCGATCTTAGATCACTAAGCCAAGCCTGAGTAGCTTCACAAGTTGGGAGGAATATATACAATATGAAGTCTCATCTAAACTTCCGCATTATATGAACACATTTGTTGTCTAACGAGTGATGGTAATGCGTGAATATATCCTTAGGATATCAAGAGATGATGATATCAAGACTAATGGAGTAGAATCATATCCATCGCTTTGAGGTTTATAGGGTCTTACAAGAGTTATGCTGCTGCAGGAGGCAGTGGCCACAGCCGACAGTTGCAGTGGTCGGTGGCGGTGCGAAGAGATGCTCTTAGTTGGGATCCAATCCAACTCGGACGGACCAGTGGATGCAGTACTTGGCAGTGTCGTGTCCCCATTCTCTCTTCCGCAGCTCGATCGTCCTCCTCATGTGTCTCTTTGCGTGTGTATGAGAGAGAGAGAGAGAGAGAGAGAGAGAGAGAGGAGATGGGGTCCGTCTTATTTGGCATTTCCTCCACCTCTCTCTCTCTCTACACAGACGCGGATTCTGCTGCGTTGGATATGTTTTGTTGTCTTGCTGACCGTGACCTGCACAAGGACGGACAGAGGGATGAAACGAGTCAAAATCAAAGCCTGGTATTGTGCATGAGATTCTCGTACACCCGACGTGCTTTGGTTCTCTGCAACTCGCTAGGATTGAATCTTGCATTCTTACGCCACCATATCACACCGATCTGGTTCTCGACATTGTAAGAGATCCACCGATGCCAGTAAAAGGATCGGTAGTACTCCCATGAGATATGGGTAACAACAAGTCTCATCACCACCTTCACCCACTCACACAAGGCATGGCAAAACCCTAGACAAGAAAACCCCATCACAGATGCCTTCTAACACAAAGCACATGACTTGATCTCGGAGGCCATGCCCTACGCAACGTGCAAAACTTATGATGATGCTTCCCATGGATTCCTTTGGGCGATGCTCTTCGACATGTTTCATACACTGAGTGATGCGTTCTCTTTCCCTCTGTCAGCCCGATGGGTGGAGAATTGTAGCTCAAACCTCAACCAAGGAAGAGAGTTTATGTCCAAACATCGAAACAATTGCACTCTAGAATATTCAACAAAAATATTAGGAAGATAATACAAATATCCTTTAATTTATTTGACACATATATAAGTAAGAATTTGATTTATTATTGTCAACAAATACACCGAAATTGTGTATGTGTTTTTCTTTTTAGAATGTATTGGACCAACTTAAATCGAATAATCATATTTCAAATGAATATGAATATAATAAATAAATACCTTAGTTGGATTTAGAGTCAAATTTTAAGTACCTAAATTGTGAGTTAGAATGGAATACATTAAATGAAGCTTTTTGAGGATTTAATTTGACACATTTCAACTAATTATGTTACTCCCAAGTAGGGGTTGGGATACTTTCTAACGCAAATGTAAGTACTTAAGTCTAATTGAATATCTAAATGGTTAATCGGATTCAAATACAATTTAGAAATGTGTAATTAGTTATTATCTTTATTATTTTGCTACCGATATTTATTGGAATAAATTTGTTTTCATGCTTTAAGCTTTTTTTATTTTACGTTTACAAACATTTATCACATAATGGAGTTTTCTGCAATAAAAAAAATTAACTAATTTATCTAACATATATTTCACCCAAAATCTTGTAATATCCATAAGTAACAGATACTCAAACATAATCAATCATCAAATGCATTTAGGAAAATGCTAATGTATGATAATCGTAGTGCAAATTGGTTTGCATCGAGGAGCATTTTAAAATAATTTTTTTTATTAAAATATAATACTATTTATAAACGATGAGTCATCGTACAATAAAAAAACTTCGATTGAGATTTAAGCTATAAAAATAATTTATATTTATATTTAAAAATAAAATTATATATATTGATCTTCCTTAATAAGATTTTCTATTCTGTTGAGAGAAATCCTCTATTCTGTTAAGAAAAATCCTCCCGCCTAATCTGTATAAATAGGAGAAGGACATGTTAATGTATTAAAGCTAAAGCTATTTCAATAAAGCTTCTTATCTTTTATTCTTTTCATCACTGTACACTCTTTTTTTTTTTTTTTTTATAGTTGCAAGAGATATTAGCAACATAATAAATATATGATAACTTTTTAATTATATATATATATATTGTATTAATTGAAATTTTACAGACAAATTAGGTGTGGCTAAGCTTCACATCATATCATTATCCGAGCCATCGCTCTCTTAAACTCGTAGGTAGAATACTCCACCTACCCATCGTTTTCCGAGTCAAAGAGGACCATCGGACGCAACCCATCATTCTCCACCTCATCCTGTGTTGACACGTGGCCCATCTTCTCTTGATTCAGAACTTATTTCATTAATTATTTAAATAATATGATTATTTATGTATTAATAATATGGTAAATATTTCACGAATTAACTCATTTTAATTCAACATCTGATCATCTGAAAAAGATTTTTTTATTATTTATCTTTAAATCATCGAATCTTTATTTATTATTATTATTATTTTTTTTTTAACGGAAGTCTCGATCTAAAATTTTTATATTCGACGTCCAACATTTGACATAAAACTAGACATGTATTGGATCAAAATCCGTAGGTATTGTGCAACTAAAATATAGATTACTCGTACATTGCTAGATTTATAGGGAATTAAGATAGCTTCTCCCAAGAAATTACTTACTGTGATCCAATTCCCGTAGGTAAACTACGTACGTAGGTAAGCTGAACATTTTGAATTCACGGTTCTGCCCTTAGAACGTGCATGGCACGTGTGTGGTGGCAGGACCATCGAGTAATGCCGCCTGGACCGAGATGCTCATCCTTTTCTTCAGGCTGACGTCACCCCCAGTACCATCGCTTTAAGCTTTCTATCTACCACTCGGCTCACACACACTCTCTCTCCTCCCAATAGCCTCTGCAGCAGCTGCAGCAACTGTTGCAGTGAAAGAGAGAGAGAGAGAGAGAGAGAGAGAGAGAGAGAGAGGAGAGGTAGGACGACCTCCTCCTCCTCCATCTCCTCCTCCTCAAGGGTTTTTAGGTTTCCCTGGCCTACCTTTCGAGGAAGCTCAAGTCAAGTCCTTTGTGATTTCCTTTTTGAGTGTTGCTATTGCCTTTCCACCCGAGAGAGAGAGAGAGACGGAGAGAGACAACAGCACACGAGCAGAAGTGCAGCTCGACATCCTGCAGATCTGAAGGTGTTCTCATGGAAAGAGGAGCGTTACCTATTGACCCACGAGAAAAGAAGCAAGTGATGGAGAGAAAAGAGTAACAAGAAAAGAGTGAAGGAAGAGAGAGAGAGAGAGAGAGAGAAGATGCAGTCAGGCTATGGAGGAGTGTCTGAGATCCAAAAATTCATGGTGGACAGCTGCGGCTCCTCGCTCTTCTCCATCTCCTCGGCGAACCCCACAACTGTCGGGGCAGGCGCCGTCGACACCCCCACCACCGACATCCACTCCGCGGCCCTTCACCCCCTGAAGTACCATCCCCTCCCTCAACCTCACCAGCCGCAACCACAGGCGTCGCCGCCGCTGCCTCCCCACTTCTCCCACTTCCACTCCGTCTCCATCACCCAGCAGCTCTTCCATCACCCCGCCCACCAGTTCCAGCTCTTCCACCCTCAGCAGCAGTACCTGGAACCAAGGCAGCTCATTCCACAGCACCAGCTGGGCCTGGATCATGAGCCGGCTCCGGAAAACTCCTCGTCGCCAACAAGAATCATCCCCGGCAGCAGCAGCGGCGGAGGGCCATCATTTCTGACGGCGGCGATGAGCTTCAAGCTGTCTGTGAACGACAGCAGCGGCGGCGGCGGCGGCGGCGGCAACCGGGAGGGGATCAATGACAATGACTCCATTTTGCAGGGAGATGATGGAAGTGAGAGTCGTCTCCACCACTGGCAGAGAGAGGACGAGTCTTCCATCAAAGAGCTATCATGGTAATTGCTGTATGGCAATCCTTGTTAGGTCTCCTCTCGCATGCAAACTTAGTTTAGCACTCTAAGAGCTATCAGTTCAGCCCTAATTAGGTTGAAGGGAAGGAAACCTATACATCAAAGAGAAATGATAAGAAAAGACTAGCTGATGATTCCTAAGACTGATGGAAAGGGGAAAAGAAGCTTAAAAGTGCGACTAGAAAGATATCCTTCATATCATTTGGACACATTCCTAAGCTCTCTACTTATGTTGGAACAACTGCAGGAGGCCACTGGATCTGGACTACATCAACAGGAACCACAAGAGGTGCAAGGATAAGGAGGCCGAGACCTCAAATAGCAAGCACTGCAGGAAGAACAAAGAGGGGGACGAGACAGAAGATGTACAAGTCGCCGGTGGCAGCAACTACAAGATCTTTAGTGAGCTCGAGGCCATCTACAACAAGCCTGGGGGTGGAGCCAATCAGACGGGCTCAGGTTCCGCCCTCACTGGTGATGAGGCCCCTCTCTTGCATGCCACCACCGTCGCCGCCCCGGGGCCACCTGCAGCCGATGAGGAAGAGGAGGCGACGGCCAAGAAGTTGTCTAAGGGAAGCGGAAGGCGGAGGAGGAAGTGGCGGCAGCGGCAGCTGAGCTCGGTGGCTGCCTTCTTTGAGGACCTCGTGAAGCAGCTCATGGACCACCAGGAGGACCTCCACAGGCAATTCTTGGACGTGATGGAGAGGAGGGAGCAGCAGAGGATCAGCCGCGAGGAGGCGTGGAGGAAGCAGCAGGTGGCGAAGTCCAGCCGCGAGGCTGCCACAAGAGCCCAAGAACGCGCTCTTGCCTCCTCACGCGAGGCCGCCATCATCTCCTTCATCGAGAAGTTCACCGGCGAGAGCCTCAATCTCCCTTGCAACCTCCCATTCCCGTCCCACATGCCCGACGCTGACGCCGACAAGGAGGACCACACCAATACCCCCAACAATCTCCAGATCGAACCCTCCTCCGACACCTTCAACAATGGCGATCCCGGTAGCTCTAAGATGTCCTTCAACACAAGTAGATGGCCGAAAGCGGAGGTGCAGGCACTGATCCGTGTCCGGAGCGGGCTGGAGTCGAGGTTCCAGGAGCCGGGGCTCAAGGGCCCACTGTGGGAGGAGGTGAGCGCCACGATGGCCACGATGGGCTATCACCGGAGTGCCAAACGGTGCAAGGAGAAGTGGGAGAACATCAACAAGTACTTCAGGAAGACCAAAGAAAGGGGGAAGAAGCGACCGCAGCACTCCAAGACCTGCCCTTACTTCCAACAGCTGGACCAGCTTTACTCCAAGTCTCTCAACACCAATCCTATCACTTCCACCTCTTCCCCTAATGCAACAAATGTGAGCACTATTGCTGCTGCTTCTGGCGCCAATGAGGGCCAACGAAAGGACAACTCTGAGCTGCTCGACGCGATCGTGGTGCCGGCGGATCACCAAAGCTTCAGGTTCTCCGATATGGCCGCTTTAGGATTCGATTTCAACAGCAGAGGGGACGACAGCGATCGGGCTGGTGGTGGTGGTGGCGGAACTGCTGCAGAGGGCCCTCTCGAGCCTCGTGTCAGTGAGGATAATAACGACGAGGAGGATGACGATCAGGGAGGCGGTGACGAGGAGGGAGAAGACGAAGAAAGGGAAGGAGACAGCCAACGACTGCACCAACTCGATCAAGAGGAGGAAGACCTACATGACTCGAGCCTCTTTTTCCAACGCCTTCGATCCTGATGGCCTCCTCTCTTCTCCCAAGTTGCATGGCTTGATGTCTTTTTTGAGGTCAACACCCATTTGGACGTATAAATTAGCAGTACTAACTAGTTTTAGCAGGTGAATAATCATGGGGTGTATGATAAACCTATCATGCAGAAATTATAACTGTACTTTATCCTACCCACTGCCACTTTCCTACTTTCTCCTCCATCAACACAGGGTTCAAGACATCGGTAATATCTCCCCCTTTTTCTTTCTGCCTTAGGGTTTGATTTCCTATAGCTGTGTGCCGCTGTTGAGCCCCCATCATGTCGAGTAAGACCAAAGGTGTTCATTGTTGTATGGCAGGACCTTTGTTTTCTTCTTATAGACAATTGAGGCCTGTCACTGTTGCCATGACATGGAAATTTGGGTCTTATGTGTGCAAATCCTGTATCCAAATCGCAGCATATTATATATATATATATATATATATATATGGTGGCAGAGCAGAACGGGACAGCTGCTTATTCTCTAGCCATGCATGCATGGTTTTCTATTAGGCTAATGCTGGGGTGGTTGTTGGAGTCTGTATGACATGATGAGAGAGGGTTTCGATGGGGAAGACGAGAGGAGTACTTCCATGGCGGTCACATCCTGGCTGAATGAATCCAATTTAATGGAAATTTCAGAAGGAAAACAACCCATCTCTATCTTCTTCTCTTCCTCCTTCTGCTCCTTCTGAATACGGTTTGGAGCTCGCAAATCGATGGTGAACTCGTCTTATAAATGTTCTTCTCCGGTGTGCAGCTTTTGGGACTTCAGAAGCAGAAGAACAAAGCTGCTTTTCCTCTGCAGGTCTACCATCAGAACAATGATGTAAGCTGCAGCAGGAGAAGCAGAAAAGATTAAACGCTAATCCAATCAGCAAACTCTTATGGAATGGTAAGAGTCAAAATGACATGTGTGCCTCCTCCTCTTCAAAGTTATGTGGTGGACTATGGCTTTCTTATGGGTTCTTTCTTCAGCCTTCCCTGTCAAAGGACTGTAGACATTACAAAGCTGGCATCGACATGCGAGAGGGCGACTTCTTGGTTGGATGGAAGGAAACACAACCAAACGCTCCCCATGGTTGAGGAGTTAATGTCACACACACACACACACTCTCTCTCTCTGTCACTTACGTATGTTGCTTTTCTCAGCTCTATTCAGAGGCTTTGACGTTTAGATTTGGCGTGCTGGTAGCCTTCGCCATCAGCCCCATGAAGGAAGCTGGTCACGTTGTCAGTGACGACCAACTCAGTTGTGGAAATCTGAGGATGGCTATAAAAATGGAGCTGCTCTTGAAATGGTCACCATGTTCAGGGCCTTTGCAGTGAGGAGTCAGGGGACCAACAACAATGGTGGCAAGCATGCATGTCTCATCAACCAGGTAGGTGCAAAGTTGATGCTGGATTCTTCTAATTTGGATACAAGATGATCAATATATATCAGGGTTCTCATGTTATTAGCTCATTTTAATCCACTGTATAATGCCTGACACGCAAATCAACATATTATTATGTTTTAAAGATTATATACAAACGATAAATGGCGAAGAGACCCAAATCATTCAAGTATAAAATGACATCTCAATCATATCACCATCAGAACATTAATAATATAAATACAATAAAATATATCCAACGATTCAAGCGGGTCTCTGTTCCCTCTTCACAGCCCAATGCCGAGCCTCGACCCTGAGCTCGACTTCTCGGAGTTGCCGTGCTCTGTCACTGGGTATTAACAGCCATGCCTTCACTGTTCTTTGAATTGGTGGTCTCATCTTTGCTTATAGTTGTTCTATGGATCTGTTTTCCTTGATCACATGTAGTTTTTGATAGATCACAGTACTGACAGGTTGATGTAACTTAGGCTAAACCTTCTAATTCTGCTGATCATCTATATCCAATTCTGGTGATCTCTAGGCAACACTTCTCCTGACCGGAATTGATTGCTGGAAAATGATGGATTTGGAGGAATAAATGCACTTATTTTCTGAAGACAGGATGTTTAACTCCATTAACAGAATAGGCTACCCATTTCTGCTTGCATTGTAGATGCTGGGAAGGAATATACATTGGCTCTATGTGCCCTCTTAGACTGTCACAGCCTCAATTGCCTCAGTCTGAGCCTACCTGTGTATGGTGTGAGATTCTTGTATGTGGCAGCATGAGTACAAGTGCAGAAATCACTCGTCAACATAAATAAGAGTGTGCAGCATTCCATGATTGATGGATCATGGAGAGGGCACTATTAAGAGCTCTCTTTTCTTGCTTGATATGTATGGAAGAAACCTGCATCAAGAACATAAATACGTTAGAAATGTTGGCCATCAACTTGTTGAGCCTAAACCATCGGCTCTTGCAATTCCATTCATCTTTATGTTCCATCTTCACTTGCCTTTGTTGTCAAGACTAGGCCGAGGGATTATAATCTTCCCCATTCAAGAGTTTATCGTTCTTGTTAAGAACAAACATAGTCCAGAATCAAAACCACTTTACATTATGACATACCTCCTTGGCCCCCATATGAGATAACTTATTGACTCTTTGAGTACAAATCACCGGCTCAAAATGTTTATGTTCAAATTAATAATAATAGATTCATCTAACCCAAGTCCAGTGGGTCCATTTAGGTTAACTCTTACCCCAATTCCGATGAAGGACTAAACATGGTATTACATGTTCAATTGACTTCTTGTTGCATAATCCATTTGTACCCGATATACATATAATGTAATTAATCCAATGTCAGAAAATATGCAGTTTAATTAAATAAGACACAACAATCCGAGACTGCAAAGTGAAATCAAGGTTAAACTGAGAGTTTCCTCCAACCTTTTACCTTCTCTAGAACTAAAAGGTATATATCAGAGTTCAATTTCGATTCCTTCAAATTTATGAATGTGCAAATGCATTGTTCTATGCCAACACTTATCCCATCTTTCTCTGGCTTCCAAAAGGTTTTAACCTTAGATTAGATTGCAACTCCTAGCAGAATGACTCCCTATGAGACCATCATCTTACAACAGACCTCTCTCATCTCACGTTTAAGAAAGTATTTAATATGCTCCAACCAGTGTCGGCAGCACAAATCACATATCTCATTTGGAGTTCTCAAACCTGATGAGTCAGTGTATCATCCATAAAGATGAAACTTGGTGTTAAGGAAATGTCTCTATGTGTGCCAGTCGAATTTTTCTAGGAAAATGATAATTGATAAACAAACAATTCAAGAATGACGTAAAGAACCATGAGATTGTCCATAATACAAACCTTTGATCGATACCGAGAAGCATCTGCCTTTGGAAGTTCAATAGTGTGACCTTTCATGGCTGAAGAGACATCAAACAGCCATTTATCAGCACATAGGTAAAGATATAAAAGTTATGTTAGTACAACTTATCCACCACTTTGATGCAACAACGAGAACCACTTACACACGATATATTTTTTTCCGATATGAGTAGCAAAATCTAATTGCCTATGAATTAGACGGCCTTCTTCCCTGCAATAAAATAACCATAATTATAAACCACAAGGAAAAAAAAACGCAAAGCATGTGCAAATCAGCAACAAGGGGAAGAAGTGTATGCCAGACATAAGTCTCTTCTGCCCTCTTTTACTATCTTCTATTGCCTATGGAGCCCTATCCTGAACAAGGTACAGAATGTTACTTGTAACAAATCTTGAATAATCTAATCGGAGATTAAATCAACAAAGAATATGAGGATCATACTGATAATTAGACTCCATATGTTAGCACAATAATTTCTGTTGACGACAGGGTTAATGCATAACTCGTTAGGCCTACCCAAAATGGAAGCAGAAGAAAAATGGCCAGTCCATCCGGTAAAAGCCAAGTATATATTCATGTTTGTCTCATTCCAAAGCATAGAAGTACAAAAACTATTCAGATCATCAGTGCAGAAACAACAATTTGTAACAAATAGAGTTTACTCTCCTATCAACAACATGAAATAATAAGCTCTTCAAGATAAGGTGCCAAGAACCAACTGGTGCATAACCATCTTGTTGACATATTACTAAAGTTCAAAAGGACAGTGACATATGAATGCAATTCAGATTTAAGTGCAAATGATACGACTTGAAGAATATAAATGAAAGTTCAAAATGTAGTTTTTTAAGGCATATGCATGTAGCTTTTTCTGTTGCCCGTCTAATCGATTTCATTATTGGATGAATAAAGCAAAATACAGATTGCTTTTTGGGAAAATTTGGCAAGAAAGAAGCCAGAAAACAAAAGAAGAAAGAAAGGAAATGACAGACTCTAGGAGAAAGGACTGAGATGAAAAGTGCTGTTGTTGATTTCTTTTCAAATATTCCAACAGTGCAATGAAAAATGATTCCCATTGAAAGAGAATGTTATTTGCATGTCAATAAGAACCAACAAAAAGGAACTCGGAACGTAGATGGGCAAATTGAGAGTGGAGAAGGGGCAAGTTGAGAATGACAGATCAATGGTCTATGCATAATAATTTTAGAGAACACAAATGGAGATGACAGGCTAGTCTTTTTTGCTGAAGATCTCCCAACTCTGTGGTCTATTTGGCTAATCAAATGAAGATTTTGCCATTGGAGGAAGTTAAGCAGCACTGGAGAACTGGGGGCAGACGGCAGGAGCAGCACGTCATTCCTCTAAGCTGGTAAAGACCCATGTTTGCCCGTCCACCTCTTCCATGCTAACATAATCAATTGCATCAATCCTAGCATCCACACCTGTGCATCTCCTCCATAGGAGATGGATACAATTATCCATCTCCAGACATGTTAAGCGACGTTATGTGGCACTTGTTCAAAGATACAATGTCAAGGTAAGGAATAAAAATACATGCACACTAAGATCTAAACCCTTAGCACTAAAGACGAGTTAACACTAACCATGACACCAAATTATACGGTGATAATGACATCGACAGCAGACAAGAAAAAACTATTTTGATGTATGCTCCAGGTAGATGACATAGCGACTCATTGCGAATGCATTAAACAAAACTGATTGTAAACAAGTATCTGAAAATACTTCTATAGCCACTATAAGATTTAAAGCAAAAGTATGGTCAAACATTTCAGAAGTCATCCTGGAGAAATAATCATAGATCAAAACAAAAATTAGGTAACATTAAACACGAATTAGTTGTTGTTACTTATAAGTGTATGGAAAGAAAAGGCAAGGCTTTTATGCTCTACTTGGCTAAATAGAACCCCTGTCGCAGCAAAGACTGGAAAAGAGTACCACAAGTAACCAGAGGTTTCACCACAGGAGTTACCTCCAACTTCCTGCTTTCATTCATCATGACATTCACTGAATCCTGCAGCTCCTTAACTTTGGCTTGAGCACTGCCGAGCAAAGACAAGAGAAAAACCAAATAACTTTGGCCTGAGCAAATGAGAACAAGAACTTCGGAAAAACTACATAATGAAGTGACTTATATCATCTTATGAAACATATATAGCACAAATCAAACTGAATTATAGAAATACAAGTACATAAACATGCAATGGAAGTCTAAGTTGTGTATACCTTTTTAACATGCTAAATCTGTACAACAAGTTTGGAATTATTTGGTCACTAGCACAACAAGATATCGAATGCAGCTGAATATAATTATACCCAACATTTTACTGAAACCATGCCTCAAGTGATGAGTGTCTTATAAGCTTATCTTAGTAAAAATTTGGTATTGAAACGCCATATTGATCAAAATTTTCCAAATATCCATCCTTCAATTAAAAGTCTACATTAAATTTTATTCTGGGTCAAACAAAATAAGTTGTGCATTCAAGTATGTTATACATAATCATCCATTCTATAAATGTGTAAATTGACTCTTGCAACAAAAAGTAAAACCAAACTTTTAAAGGAAAATGCCAAGAGAGACAGAAACAATCTTCTGAATAGCAAGTTTAAGAAACACAGACACTAAAGAAGATTGCTAAACAAGTAAACTGGAACTTTAAGCATCTTTTAAGATCGATTGTTGTCCAAAAATGACAAGACTGTTGCTTTGAAGTAAAAATGGGTGTGTAAAAGGTCCAATAGGTTCATAAGACATCCTCCTGGTTTTGTGAGGAACAACAATCTTGTATCATTCGTGGTAACATAGCAGAACACTGGATCCACAGTCCATCCTATCTGAACTTAATTGCTGCTATCCACTGCCTACTTTTGATGGACAAAAGCACTAAGTACAAGAAAGTGCACACTGGACCCCATGCCCCCACATGTGAAATGGGGCTTGTCAAATAAAGATAAGATGTAAGTCTTGATTTGGATTAGAAACAAGTTTTGCCATGTGCCAATCTGAATCTAATACTCATCTTGTGGCAAATTTGTCACCATCAGTAGTTCATCATAAAGAAACAAGAAAAGAAAAGGAAGATCCGTTTAGGAAAAACTCCTCTCTGTTTCACTTATACAAAATCATGTAACTCCAAATATTGTAATGTGGCCATTGTCCATAATTATATATGCAGTATCATAAAACATACATTAAAGTTCATATATAAGTAGATCAACACTTAACTTTGAACAGGACAAGTCCCATCCCCGCAGCAATTCCACCAGACAAAGCTGGATTGTGATGCTGCATCCATGATGCCCTCTGTGAACACGTCAAGGAAATCTCTACAAACAGCAAAGGCGAAGTAGAAATGGAAATATTAACCAATATATTAACTAATAATAAGGAAAAAGAAATCACACCTTCAATCTTTGCCAGCGTCGTTTCTTACGCAGTGGCATACTGGTCGTACGCCCATTCTATCTAAACCTAAATTACACCCATACAAACATTAAGAAACAATAATAAAAAATAGAAGGACAAGAGGGGGGCAAAAATTGGCAAGAACCAGGACGTACTTTGGCTTCCTCGAGGATGCCCGACGACGCCGAGACGATCGATGACAAGGCGGAGTCGGCGGACTGGAAGACAGAGTCTGCGGCGGCGGTCGTGACTGTTTTTTTGTGACCCTCGGCGAAGGATCCGGCTACCTTGAAGACGGATTCGGCGGTGGCGGCGGCGATGGTTTGCTTGAGATCCTCGACGCACTGGGCCTCCCCGACGACGCCAGCCGTCTCCTCAGGCGGCGTTCGGGCCACCGCAATCTCGGAGCCGGTCCCGAGGTCGGTGGTCACCGCCATGGTTCTTGCGCAGGAAACGAGAAGGGAAACGAATCGTCACCCAACCCGAGCGCGAGAGAGCGAGCTCAAGAGAACCAAACTGGACCGGGTGAATCACTTGATGGACCGGTTCAAGATTCGGATGGCGAGACTCGGACCGGTCAGCCGATCGATCAAAGCATCGAAGGTGCATCTCCTCTTTCCACCGAAGCGATCATGATACGCTGCGGACTTGCTACTAATATCTTATTGCCTTGTTTAATGACCTTATGACCTCCCCCCAACCCCCTTCTCCTTCTCCTCCTCCTCCTCGTCCTCCCTCTCGTTGGATTTAGAGAGAGGAATGATTATTGACACTGCATCTCTCTCTTTAGTTCCTGAAACCAAATCAGAGTTAAGTGATGGAACAGTAGTGAGAGCAAGATTTTGAGGTTTAGAGATCCAAAAATCCGAGCTTTGAAGCCATGGAGAGGCACAGATGCAAACTCTGCCACCGGCGCTTCTCCAACGGCCGCGCCCTCGGTGGCCACATGCGCTCTCACGTCGCCCATGTCCCTCGTCCCACGAGGGCTCAGCAACCCCTCCCCTCGCCGTGCGCATCCTCGTCCTTCTTCCCGGCGGAGGAGGCCAAGGATCCGGAGGCGGCGGCGTCGTACGGCCCCCGGGAGAACCTCAGGAGAAGTTTGAGTCTTGTCGATCACAAGTTCGCCTTCTCCGTCCCCGCCACGGAGGGGGGAGGCGGCGGGTCCTATCCCGTCGACCGGGATGGCGAGAGCGACGCGGAGTCGTCCTTTCGACGGCGGTTCAGCCGCAATCGCCGCCGAGAGGATCCCTCCGCCGACGCTGAGCCGGTCAGCTCCATCTCCGACGCCTCCCCCGAGGAGGACGTCGCCCGCTGGCTCATGCTGCTCTCCCGCAACGCCTGGTCCAAGTCCGAGGTAGACGGCCACAGATCCAACGGTTGGGATGAAGCCAATGAGGACGAAGAGGATGATCTCTATTTCGAGGAGGAGGAAGATGAGGAGGCGAAGCAGCCTACAGCCACCGCTAGATCATGGCGGAAGAGGACGAGGTACCAGTGCAGAACGTGCCGGAAGTTCTTCCGGTCGTATCAAGCTCTCGGCGGCCACCGCGCGAGTCGCAAGAGGGCGGGAGTGGAATGCATCCCGATTGCCGGAATCCGAAACCACAGCGATGACCCTTCTGACGCCAATGCCGCCGATCGCAACCCCAAACTCTTCGAATGCCCTTACTGCTACAGGGTTTTCCCCTCCGGCCAGGCCCTCGGCGGCCACAAAAGATCCCATCGTCTCTCCACCGCAGCCATTGCCGCCGCCATCCCTGCTCGTCCCCTGCTGCCCGTCAAAGACTGTTTCATAGACCTCAACCTTCCAGCTCCATTGGAGGAGGAGGCCGAGCTCTCGGCGCTTTCCGTCGCAACGGAGTTCGCGTCAAAGTGACCTCCTTTCTCCAATCAAATTCCTCCCGGAGCTCAAAGACGCCATCTTGGAGGCTGTTTGGTCAATTTTTCAGAGGTGATGCTATAAACACCGAAAAATATCTTCTTTCCAAGTTAATATTCGAATAAAATACAAACCTAGGCTCATCTTTAATCGCTTTTTTCTCTTACGATTCATGCGAATCCGATTTGGGTTATCGGTGACAGTTGCTGCTGTAGATACTGCTCAGCAGAGTGGGACGATGAGGGGGTTGAAGCCAGGAAAGCACTTTAATTTACTGTTGTACGGTTAAAGACTAGTCTTTTGAGAAAAGCTGCTATCTGTTACCGACGACGAAGAATCAAACCAGAAGTGGGAACAGGAGAGTGTTCCCTTTCCTCTTCCTCCCTTACTATGCTTTGGCAAGTTTGGCGAGCAGACACCACAGCTTCCTTCGTTCCCCTTTCGTGTCTGTCTCTTTCTCGTCTCCGTTCTCTGTGTCTCATGCACCTGCAGGACTGTGCAGGACCTGACGAGGTCCCACGCGGCTGCTTCAATCGTTGCTCGGGTAGGTAAGGCGAGTGCCGCACAGATTCTTCCTTCTCCATGGAGATGCCCTGAGGTGACACGAACGTGGGACTGCACCATTCGCGGGGTTCCGCTCACCGCGGAGGTGGAGTTTGGTGGATGCGTTTTCGCCCCAACTAACCTGAGAGATGCTCTAGATAGTAATCCCGCAACAAATCCAAATCCTCCGCGGTTCGTTCGTGCCAGCAGAGGAAGGTGATAACCGACTTATACTGAGATCGGTGACTGGACTCGTCTACCTAAAATTAGTTAGTATGTGAGGCAGGAGGTTGTCTACCAATAGTTAATTTGCACAGCGGAGACAAAGGGGGGAGAGCAATCAGGGGAGACTTGAGGCTTTCAGTGAGAATATTCATCGACAAATTAGAGTCTGAGCAGACTTTGAGTTGGAAATTTTGATGCTTTGAGAGCTTCAAAGGATGGCAAAGGGTTAAGCCAGTTAGACAACGTCGGCCTGAAGGTTGTGCAATTGGAGGTGCTTGTGCTTGCAACCAGCAAGGCAGGAATTGGGACATAACAAGTATCACAGTATAATAATACGAAGGACTGAGAGGCTGATGGAATGGCTTGGCAAAACCTTTTATCGGCGAGAGTTTAAGTTTTATATCGATTTGTGAACGAAGGATATAAAAGATAATTATTATTTCGATGTTTTTAAAAGAGCTAGAGATTATTAGCAATGAAAGTCCTCTTTCTTGTGTAATTATGAATTATACAGTCAGAAATCAAAAGGACTAAATTGGTGTGATGACTTAGTGCTTTCCGAGAAAAAAAAATCAAAAGAAGATATATTTTACAGAGTTTTAATTGAAATTATAAAAAAATAATGAAATATAATTTTATAGTATTAGGACAATATATCCAAAAATAGATAGGTTTTTTTAGAAAGTTATATATATTTTTGGGTGTCACTGTTCTTATGGGATATAAAATCCAAATTCAAAAATTATGATAGGGATCAAAAGGAAAGTAAATGGAAAGGATGGTTTGGGTAAGGTCTTGGCCAAATAGGAAGCCCTAGGAGGCTAACGCTACAATGGTTGTTGATCATAGGATCATTGATCCGATGGAAGGAGGAGAGAGATTTAGGATTAATTTGGGGTATTGAAAATCTATGGGTCATTAAAAATGGAAGTAAGAATATTCTTTCCAAGAGGAAGAGGTTTTATGATTAGGTATTTATTAGGAATAGACGAAATAATACTTTGCTAAGAGATCCTTAGTTGACATACTAGATTAGGAAGGGACAAAAGTTTTTGGTATATATGGTTATTGTAACAAGATTGATGTTCTTGATCTCGAGACCACCTTTAATTTTGAGTCTGTTAATATAGTTTCAACTTACGAGAGATATCTTGTTGTGAGTTTGATCACTATTCCAAACAAAATATCAGGAGATTAAAGAGAAATTTTTACCCGGAGGGATAGTATTGATGACCGAGTGGAAAATAATAGCTTTATCGATTTTGGAAAGCACCCCCTCTATTCCACCCATTGAGACGATTAATTATTTTTTAAATAAGCTAGTCTTGGAACATATTAGAAAGACGATAGTGATGGATCAAAGCATTGAGGTACTTAAGAGGTCTAGAGCATTTCTTAATTCCACGTGTTATAGATCTTATGTTTGATTTCAGGATTATAACATTTAGGGAAGAGGATGAGTGACTTGTTCCTATTAATTTGGAGGCTAATTAAGGAGCAAATGTTGAGGGCTTTGATAAGATTTTGACCAGATGTATCACTAGCCTTGATGCTTAGCAGGACATCATTTACAAATATGAGATGAGAAATTTTGAAACTTATAATATCATAGGAAATAATCTTTTTGTTGGCCATAAACTCTTCAAGGATTCTGGTAAGATTCTATTGGACCAAAACAAAGAGAAGAGTGGAAAGTGAATCTCTCTACCTCACTCCATGAGAGCTTTTAAACTAACTAGAGGGAAAGTTATTAATAACAATGAAAAAGTAGGATATGAAATGCATGATTGAATCCAGGATCTAAACTTTAGAGGAAGGTTCATTCGTTCAAAACAGTCCAAGATTACATTTCAAAGTATAGCGTTAAAAGCTTTGGTAAAGTCCAATTTAATCAGAATTATCCAATTTAATCAGAATTAATAGAGCTTTTCCTTTAGAGTGATACATTGAGCGGGAAAGTTCATATATACTAGAAATTTTATCATGGATTAAACGAACTGTAATGAATGCAGATTGGTTATGATCAATGATTGAATTGAGATAGGGCTTAAGTATATTTGTAAGAACTTTATATATAATCTTATAGAGAACGTTGCTAATGGAGATGGGCTTATAGTCAATAGTAACCTTGGAAGGATTAAGGATCCTAGAAATAAAAACTAGGGAATGGATGATATTAGTGTAGAAGTAATTAAAGCTTGGTGAATAGAATGAATAATACTTTAGTAGCTTATGAAGAGCTCAGTAGTGTAATTGTCTAAGTTATAGCTTTTGCTCTGTCTCATACCAATAAGGTCCTTATGGATTTCTATGGGGGAGAAGGGGTTAGTAATAAATAGATGGGATTGGATGAGAATGGTCGGAATGGAAGGTTAAATATTTGTGTCCGAGTTGCTGTGCAAGGTCTAGGGGGCTCAAAAGTTATAATATCAATCAATGAAGATGACAGATATGGAAGGGAGATTCTCCATCGAAGAACCATCTTCTTTGATGATGAGGTGGATGTGATTAGCCCTACACCTCTATCTAGCTATATTATGTAAGTATCTAGTATTTTTATCAACATCGTTAAGTCAGTTGGATTTGGCTCGAGAGAGCTATTTCATGTGGACATATCTTGAAAGAGCCGTGAACTTACTATTAAGAATGATGAGATTGGTTTGATCTTCATTTAAAAGAGGGGAATGATTCTCCTTTAGCTTAGGAGAGAGATAATGTATTGTGTCGGGTGTCTTTAAGTTGATTTTTAATATTACCAAGGTCTCTCTTCTTCCAGTTAATCAGCTGGAATTCAATGACAAACTAGGCTTGATAGAAGGTTTTAAGAGAGTAAAAGTTAAAGTCCAAAAGATTCCAAGAGCCTTGAACCAAATTATAGACAATGGGGATTAAATGTGAAGGAGTATAAATGCTTAGGGGAGTTAGTAACCGGATTCAGAAGGATAAGGAGAGGAGAATTATGTGGGGGAGATGCTTAACAATAGCATACGAAAAAATAAAAAGCCAATCAATAGTTGCAAGAGCTCTATCCAATTCGATCGAAATATGAGATTAGTTGGACCTACTATTACACCATGTAAAATATGATCTAAAAAATTTTGAGGTCCAAAAAAATTATAATTATAAATGAAATCCCTGAAAGCAAAAACTAATCTATTAACTTGAAAATATTTACCTCCTAATTTATCAAAAGAGGAATTTATTCAATTAAAGTTATCAAAAATCATCTATGATATATCAGAAAAGCCCAAGGCTCGAAAGAAAATACCAAAAAGACTGCGAGATGATGAAATTGTACTGGCATAAACTATAGAGAGGAGCCATGGATGCATATCTTTTTGTTCCACTATTAAGTATAGAAATCAAGAGAAAATACTAATCGAGAAGGTTTTGAGATTGTAAGAGAACCAAGTAACAATGAAAACTCCCGACCAACCTTGGGTTGGGAAGATAGAACCTTCCTAGTTATTACCTAGCTTGTGTAGGAATATTTTTGCTTCTATTTGCTAGAAGTGTGATTCTAAGCGAATGAGGATAGACATATTGTTATTTAATAATAATCGATAAATTTAGACTAGACACTTCAATGATTTATTTATCAAAGATAGAGAGGGAAGGAGAACCTAGTTTTAAGGAGTCGGGTAAAGAAATAAAACTTGAGTTCACCTTACTTCCCTAAGATAATGATATGTAGGATTTAGACCCTGTCTTATAGATGATCCTTGACCACTATGGATCATCTTCCTTTAGCAAGAAGTATCGTTCATCTTCGGTTATAGAGTCAGTGCTGTATTGGAAAGCTTTGATGACACTTTCTATGAGCTTACTGAAGTGGTCCTCTTCTTAGCATGATGAATCTTATGAGGGGTTCTTCAGTGGATATATGTTTGAATGGAATCTGTTTCAGTGAAGTGGAATAAGTAGAGAATAAGAAAGGCTCTCTATGAACCAGGGGGCAAGGGGAGCATTTAGTGCTCTTAGGCTAGAGAGCTGAAACGGGTTAAATGTGTCATAAGAAGTCTTAATAGGAGAAGATGGGACAAGAGAGCTTTTAGCCTTGGTTTTGTTTGATCTTTGTGTAGGGCTTAGGTATCGTATTTTAAAAGAAGTGAGTTGGATGATGAAGTAGTAGGAAAGGATGGTGATACTTAGGGTAGGGCATCGGTGGAGGATGCCTCCGCCATTGCACAATCTTGGGCAAAAGGAGGGGAGTTAATACAAGGGAGCAACAAAGTAAGTAAATGTAGGCTTTACCTGGTTATGAGATGGAGGGATAGATTGAAAGAGAACAATGACTAATTTAGAGAGAGCACGTTGTGGTTTGAAAAAGGTTGAGCCTTGTTTTCCTTACAATGGAATTGGTTCTGAGAGAGGTCAGTAGGCAAGGGTGAAGGATCAGATGGAGCCATTGTGAACCCAAAACAGCTACTGTAGTGAGACATATATTGGAATTTGATCTAGTACATGTATAATGGCCTAAGTTCTAACTTCACATCAATCTCTACATTCCAGCTTTACTCGTCGGCGTCTTCCTTTCTATGAATGGTTGGTTGCTCAAACAACTTACTCACTATACATTGATAGGTTTTATCCATAAAAGAAATATAAATTAGGTAAGTTTTCCTGGGCGATCATTTGAAAGAAGTTGGAATCGCTAATTCTAACCCAAATATCTTGGGAAAGAGGTAGAGAGAAGTCGGGTAATATGCAAACCCTTGTATGCCGTGCTCTTATACCAAAAGTGGTGATAGCATCCACTTTGAGGGGAGTGACAATGCTTACCACAATTTAAAGGAGCCTAGTGTGTATTAGTTCTATATGAAGGTCAAGAAAGTGTATTCAGATGAGAGCTGACTTCATGGTCTCATTTAGAGGTCGGAAACTTTCTCTCCAATGTAAGAGGTTGAGTGCTTATCCATGAAGGAACTATAGATCTTCGGTTAATGTGTTTGTCAAGTCAATTTTGGATTGAAAGCAAAAGCACATATAACCTACAAGAAGGTCGATGATTTGGACTTCTAATTTCAGCTTCCACAAAGGTGGAAATTTTATCTTAATAAACTATATAGGTGGAGCCTTGTCGAAGAATTTATTGTAGATGCAAAGCTTCCAGCGACTTCTAACATTTTGGATTTCTTTCGGATCTAGGATCATAATATGCCTCGAGTGATTTTGGATTCTTGATATCATTGCCAATAGGCTTGAATCGAATCATCAGGGAGAGACTTGCATAGAGGGTGAGACTTTGGTCGCTTAAGATAGTATTACAAAAAAAGGGGATCATTGTTGGCCTTGGCGTAGATAACATCTTTGGTTAGAAAGGCATTGTCAAAGGGGATGAACGATTGATAAGATAAGGAACTAGATGGGTTAAGGAGAAGGATTGAGAGGTTTCTTTAGTCTTAAGGAACTGATGCTATATACCTAGTAAAATCATATATAAATAAATCGATATAATTTATTTATGATTTATTTATAAGATGCCGGTTGAGAGGATAGGGCTTGATTATATTCATACTCTATTTCTTTTATATAATTTTTAGTCTCAATTGAATGAAACAAATTTAATATATAAAATATTCTTAAATTTAATATTTTAATTATATTTTTTAATTACTATATAGGGTAATTAAGATAACAAAAAAAAAATCAAGTTTACATTTAATTCGTTAGGAAATTTTTTTTATTTTGTTAATTAGAATTTAATTGATGGAAAATATGGATCCAAGAATCTCATACACAAGGATATTGCTGATGCTATATTAATCTCATATGCACTGTTATTACTTTCTTTATTTAATATAATATTACATGGTATTAACCCAAATGTATTGTAAGGGTGTTTGGTTTAATAATAAGTGAGAAAATAAGAATTAATAATATAAATAGTTGATGTGAATCATCAGAGTCGGTCAACATTTGGCAAAATAGTTCGTCCATAGAATTGCTTATGTTATTTATTAAATCATTTTATTTGTATTTTGACTTATTTTCAAACAAATGAGTATAATTAGTATCGTGACATTTATTTTGAATGACGTGCTTGGAAAATAATTAGCAAAAGTAAGTCCAATTTATTCTTGGTTTATAATGTTCAGTTTGTAATACGAAAGTCATCAAAGATGTGACGAGATGTAATAATTTAGAGTTGATTAGTCCATGTTAGATAGATTAGTAAATTACGCATGATGAGTAATCTTAAATTAGATCCGGTTCATTAAAACCGGTTCATCGGGCCGGAACCGAGTCAAACCGGCGTCAAGGTAAAGGTCCAACTAAATCAGAGTCGATCAAAAGGCCACCCCGTTCATCGTACGCGGCCTCTGCTTCGCTCGACCACCAACGGATGGGCCCAATTCTCTAATAGTGCCGGGCCCGCATGCTTGCGGTTCAGAAAGCGCGTAGAAGGAGCTCCGCGTTCACGCACGAAGTACACGTTACATTTCAATTAATCCCGTTTCCCGTTCCCGTTTCCCCGTGTCATAACATAAAATTGGGAGAGAACCGAAAAATACGGGGAAAAAAGGAACAAAATAAGGGGAAAAAAAGGGGGAAGAAAACGCAGAGGCTTCGGGGTGGGTGGCGAGATGTCGGCTGGATCGCAAGCTAGGGTTCCTCCCCTTCGTTTCTCTTCTCTCTGATTGCTCCAGTCCTCTTCGATTCTAGCGGTTGGGCCGGTAAGTCCTAATCTCTAGCGACTGATTGGTCTTTCCCATCCGAATCCCCGCGAATTTGCCTCTTTTCGCTTCTTTTTTTGGTGTCAGATCGGCAGAGATGGGAAGATTCCCATGATTCAGCTCGCCGTGGCGACCTGTGATTTTGTTCTCCGTTGGGGATCCGCAATCTTTGAATAAGGTTAGAGATCTGCTAGGGTTTTGGATATAATTTTGGTCGAATTTAAGCTGAGGTTACAAAGATTGGGCCGTCTTCCAGGTGGATTCTAATAATTTTGATTTCGTGAGGAGGGTTTTGCTTGATTAGGTCGGTCCTTCTTGGATCAAGAAAATCTCTGCTGTACTTGCCATCGGGGCAAAGGGAAAAACTTTGTAGCTTTGCCTTGTTTGCGATCGAATGGGATCTCCGTCTCCGTTCCAAGTGGAAGACCAGACCGATGAGGATTTCTTTGACAAGCTTGTGGATGATGATTTTGGTGTGGAGGGATCTGTTCCTCATCCCAAAGAAATTGTTAGAGATATATCTAACCTCAGCCTTGATGATGTTGGTACATCGTTGGAGGATCCTGGCAATGCTGGATTGGTTTCCGAATCAAATGGTCCGCCACAAAGTGGGACCTTACAGTCTTCTGAGTCTCCAAAGAAGGATCTTTTGGTCTGTAAGGACAGTGCATCTTCTAATTCTCCTGTTGATATGGTAGTACCATCAGAAAATTCATCTGGAAGCACTATCGATACCGGAGCACAAAGTCTATCAAACTTTAACAATGTTGGATCTAAGGGAACAAGCGTAAAGGAGGTCCAATGGAGTGCATTCAGTGTCAGCTCACAGCAGCTAGACAATGTTGGGTTGGAAACCTATTCAGACTTCCTTGCTGAAAATGCTGATCCATCTGCTGATAAACTGAAATCCAACTGTGACCCAAATTCTGCTCCTGTGGACAATCAAATTGAAAATATTGACACATATACAAGTTCTTTGAGTGCCCAAGATACACAACTTTTTGGTTCGGCTACCGAGCAGAACATTGATGGAGATGCACAGTACTGGGAGAGTATTTATCCTGGTTGGAAGTATGATGCTGGCACTGGGCAGTGGTATCAGCTGGATGCTCATGATGCAACCACAAATACTCAGTTTAATAGCTATGATGCATCTGCTGTGAATTCACAGGGGAATTTCAAGGACAATGGCGAAGTTGCTGTTTTTGATTCCAATTCGGGGAGTTCAGATGTCCTATATCTTCAGCAGGCTTCACAATCCTACTTGGAAACCATTGCAGAAGAGAGTACATTACATACTACTTCTAACTGGAGCCTTGGTTATCAGGGGAGCACTGAATACCCACCTAATATGGTCTTTGATCCTCAATATCCAGGTTGGTACTACGACACAAATACCCAACAGTGGTGTACTCTTGAGTCATATTCTCAGACTACACAGATGACACCAACTATAGTTCAGAATGAGGTTGTTGCTTCAGCTGGCGTCTCAGAGGGGAACTACAATGTAAGTGATGAATTTGGCCAACCTGAACAAAGCGCTGATAGTGTCCTGGGAAGCCAAGAGTTTGGCGACGGTTGGAATAATCCAACAAGCAGCTATGTTCAGCCGAACGTGCTGCAGGCTGAACAAGTTGGTGAAAATAGACAGTCTGGAGGTTTATCCAGAAAGCAGCAAATAGGGAGCTTTTACAGTCCAACCATGCATGCTGGAAGTCATACGGATCAAAATTTAGGCTTTGGAAAATTTCAGCCTGTTGTGGATCACAATTTTGGCAGCAGTAACGGCATCACGAGGCCTCACAATGCTGTTCATGGGGAAAGCTTGTACCAAATGAATAATCAAATGCAAGCCCCTAGCATTCATAAAAGTTTGTCCAACAGCTACCTAGGCAATCAGAACTCAGTTGACTACTCTCAGCATTCATTTCATGGCACAAATGCTTCCTATTCTCAGTTTTCTTATGTTCCTCATGAAGGAAGATCAGCAGCTGGGCGTCCTGCACATGCCTTGGTTGCTTTTGGATTTGGTGGTAAGCTTATAGTCATGCCAAATGCTAGCCCTTCTGGAACCAACTTGAACTATGGAAATCAGGTGGGCTGAAAAAGTTTCTAACGTCATTTTAACAAAGTATACTTGACATATATTTAGTTTGTAATTTAATTGTTTTGCAACTAATCTTTGTTTTTATCTAAAAGGAAACTGCTGGTGGCACAATCTCAATCCTTAGCTTATCTGAAGTTGTGTTGAATGAAGTTGATTCTTCCAGCAGTGTTTCTGGTAGTGTCTTGGACTACTTCCATTCCTTGTGTCATCAGAATTTTCCAGGTCCGCTTGCTGGTGGGAATGCTGCTACTAAGGATGCAAACAAATGGATAGATGAGAGAATCTCAAGCTATGAGTCTCCTGTCACTGAGTTCCAGAAAGGGAAACTTCTGAAGTTGCTTTTTTCTTTGCTCAAAATATCACTGCAACATTATGGAAAACTTCGATCTCCTTTTGGATCTGACCCATCACTAGAGGTTTCTATAACATTTGTTTCATATTAAATAACTATTTTTTATGTTCATTTTTCTTTTCCCAGTCTAGATTGTTCCTAAAACTCACATGGTTAACAAATAGTCTTACATTTTCATCCCTTTACGGTCTTTATGTGGAACTCTTTTATCTGCTAATGCTTTATTTGCCTCTCTGATGTTCTGAACTTACACTAAAGTTTCATGAACTTGGTCTTTCATAGAACTGTATGTGTCTCTTGTTTGGATTTCTTATTCCTGGATAATAAAATTTAAGTTTTGCATACCTTGAAAATCTCGGTTTGGTTGATTTATATTAAGTTGCTGTCCTCACAGCCTCGATTTTTTGTTCCCAGTATCAGATCACATTCTCATCTTAATAGCAAATTTGTTGTGTGACATTCAATATTTCCTATGTATGTTCACTAAATTGGTGGGTCACAGCAAATGACGACCATATATGGATATGGTTTAGGTCTTTTTGGTGATAATGGTGGTGATGATGAAGGCTATAACATAAAGTAACATTTAATTGCATTACAGAGGGGTCACCACTGCTGATTTCCCTTGATGCAGGAACTTCTTCTAAAACATGTTGCAGATAATACAAGGAAACACATTGCCAGTCACTCTGAGTAATTAATTAGTAATCTCTGGTTATTTAGTTTGTAAGTGAAGTGGAAGTTTGCATGATTCTTTAATCTCTTAATGGAAGTTGCCTGGATGGCTATAGCTCTTACCATCTTATTCTTTGATAATTTGTGATGAACATCTTGTATTTCAGCAGGACTTGACTGATGATTATTTATTAGATTCTGCTCACTTATACAAATATAAGCCTTATTAAGTTTTTTTGTTTCCTGTAGGCATTAAAATTCAGTGGATATATGGTAAGATTTTTTTAACTGTTTGAACCCATTGAACACAGATACATATATCAGACTCACTAAATCTTGTAATTATATACAATTGCAAATTAGATGTCAATGAATAAGGAATAAACTTGATTTAGTGTCAATATGGATGATATGCTACTGACATATAATTTTAAGAATTATCAATGATAATATTCTGGATCGAGTGACTTGACAGAAAATATTGTGCGAGAAAGAAGAATTTGAGCATTCATATTAAGGAAATTAATCAAATAAGATCTTTCCTTAGATTAAAATAGGTTGCTCAGATATTTTGAAACATATTGAGGTTTTCAGATGTCTGGATGTGGATAGACTTGACTTGTATTTGCATGCATATGCATAAGATTTTGCTTATCAAATAGCAGACATGGTTATGACTGGTGCACAAATTTATGGAACAAATGAGCTCCAATCAGTTAAGAAAATTGATTCAGAAGGCATTTTATAAATCAAAATTAAAGATTCTGTGGGTACACACTCATAAATGTTTTTCCTCCTTGCAAGCTTGGGTCATTTTGAGAAGGTATTTTATGGCCAATTTTGGATTACACGAGCCAGGTAACACTTAATGCTCTAACATGGAACATGAAAAATGGAGTCAAAAGATTCTTTGATCCTTGTCCAAATAATGTGTGTATACTCTAGAGAGTGACATCTTGGATAAAGCTTGGGTGGTTATTTTCACCCAATTTTAAGATAGTAACATTTTTGGATACTCTTGCCTAATCTCTTTGATTAAGTTACTAAATGCAGTTACATTGCTTTTGTATTTTTTTCTATCACAGCTGGTCAAATCTCGTAAAACTGCTGTGACAGCATGAGCTAATGTATGCAACCCCTTGATGGCTAACCTGACTTCTTTGAGAACTAGGTTAACTGTTTTGGAATTTTTATCCACCATAAATTAGTTCTGAAAATCTTGCAGAGAGCCAACCTTTCCCATCTTATCATCTTGATATAATCATCTTGTGTTCTTTACTTCTAAGGATTGTTAGACATACAGGTAGGTTTTCAGTTATAGGCTGTTAGACATACAGATAGGCCTTCAGCGAGGAATAGATATGTTGATGGTTGCAAATATGAGTTACCACATGCCATTTGTTCATGCTGTACTCAACTGATTGCCTGCAATTTTCTTAATTGTCTGTATCTATTGGACAAAACATTTCCTTCAAGGGGAAGTTATTCTTTCAGGAAAAGAATACTTGTTATTTAGGACAAACAGACATTTTCGTAATTTTTCCTCCTAGAGTTCTTAAAGTTCAGCATTTGTATTTTTGACTCGGATGTGATTTTTAACTTGATAGGATGTAAATAGTCCAGAGATGGCGGTTACTAAGCTTTTGGCATCGTCTAAAATGAGCAATGCTCCTTTAGGAGAGTATGGTATATATTCTCATTGTTTGACTAACATTCCATCAGAAGGACAACTTCAGGTATTTTCAATTCATCAAGCTTAGCTAAAAATACTCTGATGAACAGCCTTCAGACGCCTTTATTATGTGCCCCTATTTCAGGCAACTGCTACTAAGGTACAGAGCCTTCTTGTTTCTGGTAGAAGGAAAGAGGCCCTCCAATGTGCAGAAGAAGGTCATCTGTGGGGCCCTGCACTTGTTCTTGCTGCACAGCTTGGGGACAAGGTGGTGCACTTGTTTGCTCATTTCTGCTAAAATTACATTGAAAAATTCTTATGTGTTTGCAGATATTATTACCTCATGTTCGTTTGATTGACTATAACTGGCTGATTTCTTTATTTGCTCCAATATATACTCTGGGTGCAGTTTTATGTTGATATGGTGAAGAGGATGGCACAACATCAGTTTACATTTGGATCACCTCTACGAACACTGTGCCTTCTTATTGCTGGGCAACCTGCAGATATATTTTCTATGAACAATCTAGTTACTAGCTCATCTGTAGCTTCACCTAGACAGCCTGCAGAGGTGAGATCTTTAACACTCGATGTTTACTTTTGAAAAACAAAATGCTAATTACCTTTCATTTGGATATATGACTGTTCTCTTATACTCAGGGAATGAGGTTACTTTCAACTCAATAGAAACTTTAAAGTCTTGATTGAAGGCCAATTGTCAATTTGGTCACCTTGTATTGGTAGATCTGATAATTGCTGTTTCAAGTGATTTAAACATTTATAGTTATGGAATATAATTGCTAATCACAATTTGAGTTGCATGTTCTCTTTTACTCCCCTTAATGCACTGAAGGTATGAGATATTTTTTGTTGATAGAACTTTTCACAGTTTGATTCAAAGTCAGTGTATGTTCAATCAAAGTAAGTGTATGTTCAATCAATATGACCGGCCAATAAACCTTTACTCCTTTCCTTGCTCTTTATTAGTAATATTTACCACAAAATCAGTTTTCTGGAAGATTCTCTTGGCTGTTTGCGAGAGTGATGCCTAGAAGAGCAGACCTACAATTTAAACATCATCTTATGATCATTGTTTGATCAAAATTACATGTGTGCTTGATTTTTCTGCTTGCTTCTGTGAATATGCATCTTTTCAACTGCCAAATTTTATTCTTAAAAATAAAAACCCAGATGTGCATCACTTCTGTTGATTTCAACCAGTTCAGCTTTCATCTTGTTCATATGCTAAACAGCAAAAGTTTTTGGATAAATTCTGGTGCATGGATTAAAAATTTCTTGCTTTGGTTTAGGTTATAAATTTTCTGTTAGATCTTGGTGCTTTAATTCCATATACATCCATATTACTAATTTATTTATATTTTCCCAATCTCTCATTTTTGTATTGCAAGTTTCTTCATGATTCGTATATGAAATCAATTTCCATCTAGTTTCTGGATTAAAAACCGATTCCCCTTGAAAAACTTAACCTTATTTTACTTAGCTTAGCACCAGACCACCCTTTTCACAATATCAGTTTTTCCTTTTCTCTTCTTGTACTTTCGGGTCTGTAGGTTATATCAAGTACATTTCCAAAAGAATGATTTTTTTTTCCCTTCAATTGTGGGCGGTGAGGGATCATTATCGTCAGGAGTAACGAGTCTGATATTTATTCCCAATGGTGTGATTCCATATGTGAATCACATCTGATAGGAGACCTAGACAGTAGACACCTAGGATATGAAGTGAGTTTAGGTATATTTCTTCTTACTTTCTACTCCCTCCCATCGTTATTAAATTCTAGAACAAGAAATAAAATATTTTCTTTGCTCCCAGAGCCCCTCCATGCTCCTGCACCACATTTTTAACAGATTAGATATAGAAACATATTTCATGATCATAACGTGATTCTTTTGGGATGTGCTTCAGAATTCTGAGCTCACTTGGCTTTTCTATCGACTGTCAGATTCAAGCCAGTGGTATGTTGGATGAGTGGGAAGAAAATTTGGCCATCATTACTGCAAACAGAACTAAGGATGATAAACTTGTAATTCTTCATCTTGGAGATTGCCTATGGAAAGAGAGAGGAGAGGTTTGTAGTTGTCTTTTATGTCGTAGTTATGCTTTTATCATATCATTTGTGTTGTTTACCTAGTTCCTTTCAATACGATACATCTTACCTAAGTCATATTATGCAGGTAACTGCTGCACACACATGTTATTTGATTGCTGAAGAAAATATTGAGTTGTATTCAGACAGTGCAAGACTCTGTCTTATTGGTGCAGATCACTGGAAATATCCCAGAACATATGTGACGCCTGACGCTATTCAGGTTTTGTCCTTTCAGTTTACAATTTCTGTTATGTTGTTATAGTAATTTTTCATTAACTATTGCCTTCCAGTATGTTGTTAGATTTGATTTCGGAGCACACAAATGATTCTAATAATATTAATTTAGCCACCATTTTAGATGCTTTCTGGTTTTGGTTAACTTTTTGTTTGTTTATAGGAGTAAAAATATGCAATGCCTCTTCAAACTGCTGTGCTAAAAATGTTGTAGGGGATTTGTCATTTAAGTTCTCCTGATCTGTTGAATAATTATAACACCCCATGCATGGGTCTTTGGAGATTGTAGTCTTGGAACAGCAAAAAGATTGTTATCATGATTCACACTATGATGCTTAGGTTGCAAGGAAACAATCTTACAGGTGCACCTGTGGCAAGTTTGTTGGTGCCACATGGCACTTGCCACCGCAGGATCTTGAGAGGGTCAAAACGAAGGCTTGTGCTTGTAATAGATTGTTCTGGCCATTCGAACATAATCACTCATGATGACTGGGTTGCAATGAAGCAACCTACTGGATCCTCAGTTAATTAGTTTTCATGGCTTTCCCCTGTCTACACACTCCTATAAGTCAGCTACATGCATATGCTCAGTCATGTTGGTTTTCTGTGTTCATTATGTTCAAGCATGTTTGCTTTAACGTTTGTGTCTGTGTCACATCTTTTATCTAGTTGCAATAGTTTCCATGTGTGCATGCGTGCTTGATTCATTATCAATGATCCTTAATAGTGTTTTAAATATATTTTTAACTTTAATAAAATTATCAAGGGAACAGGTATATGGTTTGTATCAACTCTGTTGCCATCAATTTCATGATTTATGTTTAAAATTTAAGTCTTAACAAAATTTCTGTTGTTCGTTGATATTCTTAAAGTCAGTGATGATGTATAAACAACCATCATGTATCTTGTTCTTAGGTATGTATCTTTTTTTGTTTTATTCTGATTCCCTTCTTTGTTATATTCCAAATCTTTCTTATTTTGTGGCTGCGAGGCTTAAATGATGCTGGTTTTAAATACCACTTCCATTGTGTTCGAAGGAATTCAAATCATTATTATAATGCATCCTTGCAAGATGTTAATCAAAGAAGTATCTGCTTTGTGTTGATTTACTAGTGAATACTTTGTTTCCTGATGTAGTGGATTAATTAAAACTTTGGAGCTTGTTGTGACAATGAAAGTCCAAAACTATTTGGAGCTAAAAAGAATGATAATAATTGAAGAATGAAACAGCTTCCAACTTAGATGGTTATGGTTATGCCTTTTCTTTTACACATTATTTTTCGTTGGAAGACATATTTCCTTTTCATCAACTTAGATATCAACGATATGTGATCTTTGTTGAAATTCATAGTGCTGAACACCAATATATGTTGAGAACCGAACAAAAAACTGATTGTGTGTACTGTCTTTACAGAGAACAGAACTATATGAATATTCAAAGGTTCTTGGAAATTCTCAGTTCATCCTACAACCTTTCCAACCATATAAGCTGATCTATGCCTACATGCTGGCTGAAGTTGGAAAGATTTCAGATTCACTGAAGTGAGTAGTAGTATTTTCTTTACCCTTCTTCCTGCTTGACTGTAGTGATTTCAATAGGCACTCGAGCGCTCGCCTAGGCGCTCGGGCGAGGCAAGGCGAGGCCCGAGCGCCTCGCTTCACTTCCAGACGACGCGCTTCAAAGAGGCGCCGCCTGGGCGCTCTCCCAAGCCCAAGCGTCGGGGGCTTCAAGCGAGCGCTTGGGTTAAACCAGGCGACCGAACCAGCATTTTAGGTTTGGTTCGGTCTCCGATGCTTTAGTTGGTTCAATCGAACCAACTAAAGCACCGATATCAGCTGTCGTTGCCCAACCCTAACCCTGCTTGCGTTCACGCTACCGCTGCTGTTGTTGTTGCCGCTCCCGCTGCCGTTGTCACCTCTCGCCGCTCCCGCTGTCGCTGCTCGCCACTGTCACTGTTGCCGCTCACCGCTGCCGCTGCCACTGTTGCCGCTCGTCGCTCCCGCTCCCGCTGCTCGCCGCTGCCGTTGCCACTGTCGTCGCTCGCCGCTCTCGCTGCCACTGCTCACTTTTACCGCTGTCGCTGCACCCTCGGTCTTCCCTTACACTCCTCTTCGTTCTCTTTCGAAAGAATATTGTTAACAGTATACAGTATACTAGTAACAGTAATGTATTTGTATTTATTAGATTAATGATATATTATTTTGATTTTAATACTGTTAAATAATTATATTTATTAATTATATTATATATTTTAATATTTTAGCGTCTTGTTTCGCTCGGGCGAGCGCCTAGCGCCTCGGGCGGTTTTGGACCTTGGCACCTTTTGGCGCCTAGCGCTTTTTAAATCACTGCTTGACTCATATATCAGATCTAATATAGGTACTGTCAAGCATCTTTAAAATTGCTGAAGAACTCTGGTCGTACTTCTGATGTTGAAATGTGGAAGTCAATGCTATCATCCCTAGAGGAGAGGCTGCGCACTCACCAGCAGGTAATTCACTATGAATGAGTTCCAATCTTTGCAGCTTTGATTATTGCTTTGCTCTGATCCTTTTTTTTGGGATTGTCCTTATCCAGGGTGGTTATGGTACCAGCTTGGCTCCTGCAAATCTTGTTGGAAAATTGTTTACCACCTTCGATAGGTCCATTCATCGCATGATTGGTGCACCGCCAGCACCTCTGCCGCCATTGCCACAGGGAAGTGTAAATGACAAAGAAACCTACTATGTTGCCCCAAGAGTAGCAAATAGTCAGTCGACCATGGCCATGTCCTCTTTAGTCCCGTCAGCATCAGTGGAAACCATGAGTGAGTGGAAGGGTGATGATGGTAAACAGACTAGGCACAACAGAAGCATTTCAGAGCCTGATTTTGGTCGAAGCCCAAAGCAGGTTGATTCTTCTCTTTTAGGTGAAAGTGAATTTGTGCAGCTCAACTTGTTTAGCAAATTGTGGTTATTTTATATTAATTTTATTTTAAATCTTCCACTGACTATGATAGGCAATATGGATTCTGTGAATGTATAGTTTCTAAAAGAAAGAGAACCTTTATTGTTCTTTACTGACCTCAGCAAATTAACATTGAAGGATTCAAGCTCAGATGGTGCACAAAGCAAAAAGACTGCATCTGGTGGGTCACGTTTTGGACGCATTGGCTCACAACTTCTTCAGAAAACCATGGGGTGGGTGTCAAGATCCCATCGCCAGGTATTTTACTTGATATAATTGGTTGTGCCACAGCCGCTTCTAGATGATGATGATGATTATTATTATTATTATTATTGTTATTATTATTATTATTATGCATTCTCCCTTGTTACTTATGTATATCAGATTCCTGGTAATGTGAAGGTAAAATTGGGTCAATCAAACAAATTTTATTATGATGAACAACTTAAGACATGGGTGGAGGAAGGAGCTGAGCCTCCAGCTACCGAAGCTGCTCTACCACCACCTCCAACAGCAACAACATTCCAGAATGGTATGCCTGATTACAACATCAGTAACACTTTCAAGAGTGTGACCAACATCAATGATGCTTTCAAGCGGGAAAGCCTTACCGACAGGGAAGGGCCAGTGGCAAAACCCTTAGTTCCCTTGGAACAGAAATCGACAATTCCACCCACTCCACCCAGCCAAAACCAGTTTTCCGCTCGTGGTAGAATGGGGGTTCGTTCAAGGTTGACTTTCTTATCATTTCTTGGTATATTTTGAATGGTGCAGTCTCATTATAGATTTGGTTTGCTGGGATGTTAATATTAGATAGGCACTTTCCAGATACGTGGATACATTCAACAAGGGCGGTGGTGCCTTGACAAACACTTTCCAGTCACCTGCAGTGCCATCCATGAAACCATTGGTTGGTGCAAAGTTTTTTGTGCCCACAGCAGCTGCAGCTGTGGATGAAGGGGAAACTGATGCAGCAGGAGAAAGCAACCAGGAAGTCACCAATGATAACGAAGAACCATCTAAATCAGCAACAGCAGAAGCATCGTTTTCCTCGCAGGGATCGTCGTCATCTTCATCATCGATGCAACGGGTTCCAAGCATGGATAATATTACACCTCTTGGAAACAAAGGATCTGCAGCAGCGGCATCGTGGAGTGGTAACGGTCCCTTATCCAGAATGAGAGCAGCATCTTGGAGTGGGACTTACACCAACCCACTCCATCAAAACGTCACTGGGATGAATCCCACTAGTGTTGGGCATGGTATGACAACATCCTCACCCAGCAACACCGCACACCCCGGTTCAGTCAGCAGCTTGTCTCTGCAGCAGAACGGTGGTTCCCTGGGGGACGACCTGCATGAGGTTGAACTCTGATGCATCGCAGCATCAAGCATGGGTTGCATCTGGTCTTCAACTCCCAACTCCATCCTACAAAACCAAACGGAATAGGAGAAGTGGATTTGAAGAAACTTTACAGGAAAAATCTATGGTCTTGTGGGAAGCATTGGCCCCAAATGTTTTCCTTTGTAACTGTTGAGATCATGAGGTGCATGAGGTCATGTCATGGTGTCCTTTTACATGAAAGCAGGTGGGTGTTGATGTGCAGATAATTTGTTGATTTATTGAACCCATATTGTTTTACATACAATAAACATATAAAAGAAATTGTTGGTCTTGAAAACAAAGAGTTTTTGTCTCTCATTTCTTTGTAGGATTAAAGACAATAAACCGCTAAAGCGGCAATCAAGTTTTGAGCAGAATGTACAAGGCGAAATCTGCTAGTTTAAATTGATAAAACAGTCTATAGGTTGAAAAGTATTGCGTTGATATCGATATATTTGATTTGTTTAATTCAGTTTAAGTGGATTGTATGTTCTCGAATCCATGTATATTTATTTATCTGCTGCCTCCATGAAAGTACACCAGCATTTGCGAAACGAGGAAATTTTACTGGGTGCGTGTAGTGCGTTTGTGCTCATTTGCCCTCTATGATTATTTTTGCTCCCTCACAATGATTAGTCTGTTCATAGTCTACCCTCACCTTGCAAATTCTTTATATAATTTCCAATAACTTAGGATGATCAAACTAGATTAAAAATTTTGAAGAAGAACATAGAAAAATATACAGAGAGGTATGCCCATGTACGAAGGTATATAACTTCTATCTTTAATATACCATATTTGTTTTTAATCCTGATATTACTTTTTTTATATAATAATTTGATCTATTTATGATTAGATCTATTTTCATTATATCAACTTATTGTTTACTCGAATTATTACCGGCGAATGTTGTCGATACCTCACTGTCGATAACACTACTGTGAAGGGTGCGGTCTACCTTGGTCATTAGCTTTACCATTAATGGCGGCTATACAGGTAGCATGTCAAAGCTATATATATATGTCAGAGATTCCATCACTGAGAAAACGCAGATGCGACGGATCGGTTTGATATCGAGCATAAATTCGACGGCACGCATTTTAAAGCATCGGTCACGGCGATCCTCAAAAAGGCCACCGATGCCTGTGCGGCTGAGTGAGAGCCACGTCATCGTGCAGAACGACTCGTTCTGGTCGTCGATCACCAGCATCCCACGTGGGTCCTCCTCAGTGGTGTCTTATTTGAAGCCCCACACCGTCCGATCAATCAAAATATTTTTAGTCCTTAGTTTAATACGAACAATTTCTTTTTTAATTTCAAATCTCACAAATATTCTCTTATATATATATATATATAGTAAATTAGGAAGTGACATCACTGATGACGGTATCGAGGGTTGATTAAGTCCGCCTAGTGTGATGCCACTCACTGGCCAATCGATTGCGCTCGGGCCCAATGTGGAATGGCTCGGGCAATTATGAGACCGAACCCGAAACCGATCCTTCCCGATAACGGAAGCATCGGGGAAGGTTGTGGGAATGAGCGACATGGCAGGAGGAGAAGAGGCGGCGGCTGACGGCTCGGCGGCACGGTGGGGACGACGGGCGTGGGAACTCCTGGAGAGGGTGCGGGCTCGCGCGCCGCTGGTCCAGTGCATCACCAACTTCGTGTCCATGGATCTGATGGCGAACGCGCTCCTGGCGGCCGGCGCGTCCCCGGCCATGGTCCACTCCCTCCGCGAGATCGACGACTTCACCCCGCGCGCCGACGCGCTCTGCGTCAACCTCGGCACGCTGTCGGACGGCTGGCTTCCCTCCATGCGTGCCGCGGCGGCTGCCGCCGCCCGGTCCAGCCGCCCCTGGATTCTCGATCCCGTCGCGGTGTCTGCGTCCGAGTTCCGGATGGAGGCTTGCCTGGGGCTGGTGGCCCTCTGGCCGACCGTGATCCGGGGAAACCCATCTGAGATCATCGCGCTCTCCTCTGCTTGCCGAGTTCGCGATTCCAAAGTAAAGCTCTCACATTTGCTTGTTCCTCTTGTATTTGTGATATCGATTTGATTGCATTCAATACTATTAAAGAAAGAAATTAAAGTCATATATGTATTTTTTGTATGCTTGTAAACGATCATGAATTACGCAAGAGACACTGTTTGAATGGTCTTCGTCTTGTTGATGATTCCATTACAAATTGTTGGTGGATCGGGTTAGAAGAAATTTTGATGGTAAAGATACGAATGCATCATAGAGAAGGGGAGGTTTACATTTTATAGGATTCTGGATATTGCTTGCTGAAGGGGAACAAGATTTTGCATGTATTGTTGTTTGTTTAGTGTTATTGGACCCAACTGTAGTTCTGGAAATAGAGAAGAACTTAAGTTCCACTCATTCTTGTGCTACAATAATCAATATGCATGGTCTACATACATGCCTTCCCCTTATCACCAGTGTTCATCCTGTCCATTTTGATCATCGTAAGAAATTGTGAAAGAAACTATTATTATTAGTCCTGTATTGCATGGAGTTCCATAATTCTTGATGATCAAGGGGATTGAACCTCCTGAGAAGTGCAGGATAAAAAAATTGAGTTTCCATATAAAATCTTTTGGGCTATTATACATATGCATATATATACAATATATACAATATATACATATATATATATATATATACATATATATACATACGTATATACATATATACATATATACATATATACATATATACATATATACATATATACATATATATATATACATATATATATAGTGTGTGTGTGTATAATATATTTTTTTATTTTCTTTAAATTAAAAATGATGGCTGACAGCTTGATTCTTAACCTGTTCTAGAGCTCAGGTCATTGGAGGATCATAATAATTTGACATTTAACCTTGCTTTCTGTTTATTAGATATCATTAGCAGATGTAGAAAAACTTAGTGGTATTTAATGAAGACATAGGAAACTGTATCTGATATATCACTTGGTTGTGAATTAATGCAACTGCTTAAATATGTAAGTCATAGATCACTGTCTTTCCAAATTAGTAAATTTTGGATCTGTTCTTGGTTTTGGTGTCTTGTATTCACTCAGCATCAGCGTGCTGAAGATGGGGCATCTTAGTCAGCTTTGCTCTCTCATCCCAAGTTTTTCTTGGACTAATCTCAATGCAACCCTTAAACAAATATTGGTTTTTAATGGTTTTTCTATTCTGTATCATTTACCTTGTATTTGGGGTCTTGTTGAGAGGCATCTATCTTGTAGAGACTCGAGGGTGGGCAAATCTATCCTTGGACCAATGTTCACTTTAATGAAGCTCTTTTGCTGCTGTTGCTCATGAACAAAGACCTTTTGGCTGAACATGTTAATAATATGCAGTGTTTATTGTGTGCTATGTGTGATTGCTAACTCTCTCTTAAGCTTATTCTCATTGTGGTGCTTCTATTTGGCTTCTTTGCTGTAACCCTATTGATGAATCCTGGATGTTCCTAGAGTTGTAAACCATCTGTCCTTGATTTCAGCAGAATATTTCCACTAATTATTTCAGATGAAATTCCTACCTTTCTGTTTGCACAGCCTGCAAGGTTAAATTGCTTCTTTCCTTCACTTGGACTTGCATAAATGACTTAAGAGCAATCATGAATATGGGTATCTAGGGTTAACTATCACGTCTGTCAGCACAGATCAATATGTATTGTGCAAGCAAGATAGTAGTATGCATCATGCTGGAATCATATCTGCGGTGCCTAGATATGCTTAGTGCAATTTTAGGCTTGTGCTAATCACCCATCCCATGAGATAACAACTCTTGTTTGTGATGCAATAAGCCAGACATCTCTTCTTAAATGAAAATCTGATATCCAGACTGTATAATGAGCTTATTATCTTTCTTATTATCCAACAAAAGATGGGAAAGTCTAGACATAATTGACACAGCCATGAGAAAGTACAATTGACAAATCTCCTGTTGAGTTATTAGAAGCATGTTATAAGAATACTTTGGTGAATTAGGTCTAACAATGTTCCACCAACACAACTTCAAACATATAGAATAAAATTACTGTGAATGATCATTACCTCTTCTACAAGTCACATTTACTTGCTGTTCAGAGCGTGTCATTTTTCATTATGACTAGCTAATGCTTCTTCCTAACTTGCTTATTTCTGGAAATTGGTGGAAACCAGGGTGTGGACAGCTTCCATGAGTCGCCAGATGCTGTGGAATCTGCTAAATCACTGGCACAAAGCAGTGGTGCCATAGTTGCAGTATCTGGAGCCACTGATTTTATAACGGATGGACAGATAGTGGTAGCTGCACAAAATGGAGTGGCCATGATGCAGAAGATCACAGCAACAGGATGTGCTGTCACAGCTCTCATTGCTGCTTTTGTTGCAGTGGAACCATCGAATCCTTTGGAAGCAACATCTTGTGCTCTCTCTATATTTGGCTTGGCAGGAGAGCTGGGGATGGAAATGGCAAATGGCCCAGCTTCCTTGCGGGTGCACATGATCGACTCTCTTCATGGCCTTCATGAGCATACTGTAGCTTCCCGGATTAAGATTTCTCTGGTATCATGAGGACAGCCAGAAAATGGTGATATTTTCTCATCTTGTCCTTTCTTTGTATATCGTTCACAAATAACTGAGGATGGCTGCAACCTCACAATCGATAAAGACACCGTACCTGTAAGATGTGCTTTAATTGCAGAATTGAAGAGTTCCATGGCTTTCTACAAGTAAGATAGATCTGTTCTTTTTGCTAGTTAGCATGGAAAGAGCAAGTAGACCATCTGTCGTGAGGATCACATGTGCTAACATCTAAATTTTGTGATGGAAATTCCCAGGACATGGTCTAGTGTGTTGCATCTCAATTATCACACACCTGTGATTGAACTGGCCAAGCTGTCCAACAAACCTTTGGTTGAAATCTTCAGCAAGAGCCTCAAGTAATTGAGCATGTCACCAGAAAGAACCACAGAGATCAATCTTCTGGAGTTCTCAGCCGACTTATTAGTTTGGCGGAATAGGTCTTTGTTCACTGCCATCTTGAAATCAAGTTCTCTCACAAGTTTACCACTGGCAAGCTGAGTTTTCTGGATCTTCAGTGATTGTCTGAAGCCATAAAGCTTATGATCTCTTTGCCAACTACATGGCTGACAAATGCATGTCTTTTGACCACTACAATGATGCTTGAGCTGTTGCAGTCAAAGGGTACAGTCGATGCTGAATGCCATACTGGGCAGCACTCACCATCTGATGCAGCAAAAAGCCAGCTTTTACTGTTGAGGGATGCAGCTTAATTTGGATCAGATGATGTTGCAATTAAGTTGGATAAAAGGATTTACATGGGAAGAGGTGAGACCAGAGACAGCAGAGCTGCACA